AAGGTCTACTGGGCCCCTAGAATCTCCGGCCCTTATTTCCAAGTCCAACCCGGCTGCCCCAAGACTGACTCTTCCACGGGCCGTCCAGGGGCTGCCCCCTGGCTGCTCCCCCACAGGCCAGTCTACGGCTTTTCGCCCCAGCCTCCTGGCCAGAGAGCTGTTGGAAGCAGTGATGGGTCTGAGAAGTGCAGGCTGGGTGCTACAGCATCCCAGGGCATGAGGCCTGCCGGGCACCACGCATGGAACTAAATCCTCTGCGCCAGGCCCGGCCCGGGAGCAGGGAGCAAAGCAGTTGGGAGGCAGGTGGCGAGCTGGGGGTCCGGTGGGAAACCAACAGGCAGGGGGCATGGAGATAGTCTAGATCCTGGTCGAGATCCCCCCTCTTCTTTTCCTTCTGGAAGCCCGAGGCCTCCTCCACATCCCACAAGGAAGGGAAATTCAGCACTTTTAGGCTCTGCCAGTTGAGATGGTCAATTTAAAGTTAAAAAAAAAAAAGGGGAACCTGAGGCATATGGGGGGGTTTCCTTGTGCACCACAGCCCTTCTCAGCCCTGGCAAGGAGATCTGAAGCTCGAGTTGTGTCCGGCCTGTCCACGGGGCTCCGTCCCCCCAGAGATGCTGCTGGTCTAGCACCCCACCCCCCACCTGGGCCTTGGGGTCCTCATCCAGGACTCCCTGAGGAGATACCCTCGCTGAGCCCGGGGCAGTGGCAGGCAGCTCTCTTGGCCACCCGCTGTCAACCCAGACCCCAATGCCTGGAGGCCGAGCTGCCAGGATGCTGGCCAGGCACGGTGTCCTTGCCCTGGAGCCCGCGTGCACGGGCCAGGTCTAAGCAGTGTGTGTGTGTGTGTGGGGGGGGGGTGTCTCTGATTGGGGAGTCCACGGCGCAGTCAGCTGAGAAAGGAACGGCCTGTGGCCCCTGCCGGAAGGGCAACCAGGCCAAGCCCAGGAGGCCGGGCGGGCGGAGGAAGCCGCAGGGTTATCTGACAGTGGCCTGGGAAAGGAAGCTGGTGGCCAGAATCGCGGCCAGCCTGGGTTGCTGGTCCTCTGGCACACCTGGGGCGGGCAGAGCTCCCTGCTGCGATGCCCAGGCCCTGGGGCTGGGGGGGGGGGGCGAGAGCCTCGGGGGGCATCTCCTGCAAGCCGGGGCCGGGTCTGGAGCAGACTCCGGCCAACTCATAGGGGCCGAAAGCTGGCCGGGAGCTGGGCCCAGGCTGCTGCCCCTGCCCAGCGCGGCTGGCCAGGCCGGGCGGGGAGGCCGCGGCCATTATGCAGCCTCAGCTCCCGCACCCCGCGCTCATCTTCCTCTTTTTTGGGAGCGCTGTTTAACCCCTTCCCCGCCGGAAGGCTCCCCGCCTCTCCCCGCCGCCTGCCCGCGCGGCCCCCGGCGGGGGGTCAGCGCCCCTCCAACTCATCCTCCGGGGCCAGCCCCTCCTCTAGCAACTTCTGGGCCCCCGAGACTCGGGACCCCCTCCCCGCGATCTGTCACCCGAGTCCAGGACGAGGTCTGGGCCGCAGACTGAGGCCTCCGCCCAGCAGCGCGCTGTCCCCGGGGGCTACTTCCCCGCGGCCGTCCCCGACACCCCCCGCCTCCAGGAGGGGTCAGACCCTCCGCGAGGGCCGGGCCGCGCCGGCCGGGCCCCCTCCCCTCGCCGCCGGCGCCGGGCCCCGGGCCCCCGGGCACTTTCGCCCCGTCATGCCCCCTCGTGCGGGGCCGGAGGGCGCCCGATGCTGCGGGTGGCCCCCCGGCCGGCCTCGCGAGGCCCCCTCCCCGCGCGCGGGCGCCGGGGCACCGGGCGCCCCCCGCCCCCACGCCGCGCCGCGCCGCGCCGCCCCCCGGCCCCCCGCGGGCCGTGCTAGGCCCCGAGCGCCCGGGCCGCGCCTCCCCGCCCCCCGCGCCGGCCGTGCCCGGCCCCGCCTGGCGGCCACCCCGGCTGGACAGGGCGCGGCGGCGCGGGCGGGGCCGGCCCGACCCCCGCGGCCCGCCGGCCCCCGCGTACCGCGATCACGTTGACGAAGGTGGTCTTGCCCGAGTACTGCAGCCCGACCAGCGTGAGCTCCATCTCCTCCTTCCAGAACAGGGCCTTGAACCAGTCCAGCAGCTTGTTGAACAAAGCGATCATGATGACGGTCGCTGCGCCGGCCGCGCCCGGCCCGGCCGCCCCCCGCCCGCTGCTGCCTCGCGCCGCGGCCCGCGCCGCCCCTCGCGCCGCTCGCGCCGCTCGCGCCGCCGCCGCTGCCGCTGCCGCTGCCGCTGCTCTCGGGGCGCCCGGGCTGGAGCGGCGGCGGCCGACGACTCGCTCGCTGCCCCCGGACCCGCGCGCGATGGGTGTGGCCTGGGCGCCTCCGCCCCGCGCGCGCGCCCGCGCCCGCCCCGCCGCGCGCCGCCTCTCCGCGCGACCCCGCCGCGCGCGCGCCCTGCCGCCCGTGCCCGCGCCCCGCCGCGCGCGCCCGCCCGCCTCCCCGCGCGCCCGCGCCCCGCCCCGCCCCGCCTCGCCCCGCCCCGCCGCGCGCGCCGGGCGCGCGGGCTGCGGCCGTCGCGCGCCCGGTGGGGACCCGGCCGGTGGGCCTGGAGGGTCCCCACAGGCACCCCAGCCGGAGATGGGAGGTGGGGGTTGCCCCAGGCGCAGGGGCCCCTCCGAGTTGTCGAGTTGTCGTTGTCAGAGAAGCAAATGGAGGCTTTTTGTTCCCAGCTTCTGAGCTTCTGGGGAAGGGGTGGGGGTGGGGGGTCCCCCGCAGAGCGCGTTCCGCTCCTGGGGTGCTGGCGACTGGGAGGCCGGCCCTGCGTGTCTAAGTCTCTTTCTCTCTCCTCCTTAGGAGTTTTGACCGGAATCTACGGAAATCTACGGGAGTCGCGTGCTGGGGGAGCGAGGAGTGGGGATGGGGGTCTGTCTGCAGGGGTGCAGGGGAGCAGCTGCCCAGATAGGCACCCTGCCTGACAGGTGCACCTGCCTGATAGGCACCTGCCTGTGGTGGACCCCAGCGGAGAGGCTCTGGAAAAGAGGGCGAACTGGCGAGTTTGAGTGGATCAAGTCCAGGATTCCAGGAGGAGCGAGCCCAGGTGTGCAGGACCTGCCTCAGGATGCCCCCAGTGCTGGGGTGGTCAGTGTTTGGTTCCACAGATACCTGCAGACAGTCACATACCTTGGCAACCAGTATGGACCTGCCCCATCTCCCCCCCCCCCCCCCCCCCCACACATTAACCCCAATAATCCAAAAGTTGCAGTCGCTGGAGCGATAGCACAGCGGGTAGGGCGTTTGCTTTGCACGCCGCCCGGGTTCCATTCCCAGCATCGCATATGGTCCCCTGAGCACCACCAGGAGTGATTCCTGAGTGCATGAGCCAGGAGTAACCCTGTGCAATGCCAGGTGTGACTCCCCCCCCCAAAAAAAACCCCAAAAATTGGAGTTAAAAAAACTGGCTCGGCTTTGTACTTTGGGACTCCCTGCAGGGTTCTTGACAATGCTGGGGAGCCCTGGGTGGTGTCTTTCCGGCTTCTGCCTCTCTGGCCCCTGTGTCTGCCTTTTTGCCCTCTTGCCAGCTGTTCTCGGGGTCTCTGGCAGTTCCAGGAGTGTAGACCCACATCCTTCCTGCTGTGTGTTCTTACTCCACACCAAATACAGGCCCCAGAAGCCTGAAAAGAAACCAGCCAAGGACTGGATCCATCATCCACAGGTGCTTTATTTCCCCTCTGACCTGTCACAGAGCTGAACTGTTCTCCTGGGCTACCGAGCCTGGCTCGGGCTGCAGGATGGGCAGCATGGAAGTTCCTGAGGGTCCAGCCTCATGGGCACCCATGGGGATGCCTCTCGTGGGGGCATGGCGGGGCGCAGGTTCCAGGTCCCAGGGTCCAGTCATCAGGATGGAGGATGCCCAGTCAGGCCAAGTAGAAGGGCCAAAACTCAGAGTCAGTCTGCAGAGACGCGCGGTCGTGAGGGAGGACCACCATGAGGCATGGGCCTGGGGTACCCCGACCCACGGGCCGCCCTCACTCGCTAGGCAGCCGCCTTGGCTTGAAGATCCGGATGCTGAGGTGTGAGGATACAACTGGTGCTGAGGCCGAGCCGGATAGAGGCTGTGAGTTGTCTGGGGTAGGCTGTGAGGGGGTCAGCCTGAACCCCACACCGCAAGGAGTGCTTGGGTCCAAGAGCTGGGCGGATTGTACAGGTGTGGCTGGCGGGGCTGGTGAGTGGAGCTAGGGGGGTGGGGGGCGTTGGAATACAAACCCTGATCCTCTTCCCAGGGCGTCTATTGAGGTCACAGCTGCAGGCCAGGAGGGTGCAGGCCTGATGGGTAGTGGGCGGGGTGCAGGCTCGTGGGGGCAGTGGCAGCCGAGGAGTAGCAGACAGCTCTCTTGGGCTTCTGAGCACCCCCCCCCACCACCACCACCTTTCCCCTTTCCCAGAGATTCAGCTTCTGGGCCTGGTCAGCCCATAGCTGGATCCCAGGGCACTCGGGAGATGCTCTGGGGCCTCGTTATTTGGGGGCGAGTATTCGGCACACAGAGGTGAGGGTGGGAAGAAGCAGCGAGCTTCAAGGCAGGTGCTGAGAACTCGAGCCGGTCAAGGGCGGCCTTCCAGGGCCCCTGGCTTGGGGCCCGTGCTCAGGTGAAGCCCGGAGAGGCAGCTTAGGGCAATACCATCTTGCCACCCCCAGAGCTGGCTGACTACTTGGCGACCCCGAGTCCTGGCAGCACTGCCTGAATGCCTGGGCCCCGAGTCCCAGAGGAGGAGAGGGGAGCTCGTGGGGCAGTTTTGGGAAGGCCTGGATGCCAGGTTTTCTCATCTGTCTTAGCTCAGCCCCACAACGCTGCCCCCTGTGTCCATTTGGAGTCACCGGAAGCAGCAGAAAGACCAGTGTGACCTGGACTCTGACCCTGGTCCTTGCAGACACAGCAGACCCCTGAGGGAGCACCTGGGGGGGGCACGCACTCCCTGTGTCCCTGCAGGGGCTCCCGACATCACCAGGCCCACTCCCCACACCCATCTTGCTTGCCCAGATACGGGGCGAGGGGCACATTGGTGCCTGGGCTCTGCTGGGCAGGGCAGGGTCAGGGCCTGGGCTCTTGCGTCGCTGGCAGCTGGGCCGCGTACAAGGCCAAGGTGTGGTGCAGGAACTGGTACTGCTCCAGCGTCTGGATCATGCCGCCCCTGCGGGAGAAGCGCACGGATCATGTGCATCTTTGCTCGACCTTTGATTTTCCTGGGATTCATCCTTGGCGCTTCCTCCTCCTCCTGACTACCCCGAGCCCTTCCCCACATCTGCCCCTAATGCAGGGCTGAGCCCAAAGCCTGACTGTACTGGGGGGGGGGGTGGAAATGTCACTTGGGGGCCCATCAGGTCCAGGTAGGACCCAGCTCCTGAGTTCTCAGGCCAGGCCTGGAATATCCCTGAATCCCAGTGTTTCCTTTCTCCAATAATTTTTTTTTTGTCTTTGTTTGGTTCCGGGACCCACACCCAGAGGTGCTCAGGGGCTATTCTGGGCTCAGGGCTTGTGTGTGTGTGGGGGGGGGGAGGGGTGGAAGGTCGGGGGGCAAGGGTTGGTCAATTCATTTTCCAATAATCTTTAAAGTAAAGACAATAAATTGAGGGCCAGGGCGATTGCTCAAGAGAGGTAGAGACTGAAGCTATAGTACAGTGGTGGGGAGGGCACTTGCCTTGCAAACAGCTGACCTGGGTTCCATCCCTGGCAACCCATGTGTGGTTCCCCATGCCCCACCCGGAGCGATCCCTGCAGAGCCAGGAGTAAGCCCTGAGCACTGCTCTCCACGAAACAAAACTTTTGCAAAGTGGCAGGAATGCATGCTTAGCATGAGGGAGCCCAGACTCCATCCTTAGTACAGGATGGTCCACTGAGTAACACCAGGTGTAGTCCCCATACCAAAAATAAATTGTCGGGGCGGGAGCAATAGTACAGCAGGTAGGGCGTTTGCCTTGCATGCGGTCAACCTGGGTTCGATTCCCAGCGTCCCGTATGGTCCCCCGAGCACCGCCAGGAGTAATTCCTGAGTGCATGAGCCAGGAGTAACCCCTGTGCATTGCTGGGTGTGACACAAAAATTAAAAAAAAAATTGTCACTGTCACTGTCCTCCCGTTGTTCATCGATTTGCTCGAGCAGGCCCAGTAACACTGTGAGACTTGTTACTGTGTTTGGCATATTGAACATGTCACGGGTCTTGAATTCACGGGTATTCAATATTTGGCATATTAAATATGCCAGGCTTAATCAAAAATTTCCAGGGCTTGGAGAGATAGTACAGTGGATAGGGTACTTCCCTTGCCCATAGCATGGCTGACCTGGGTTCAATCCCTGACATTCCCCATGGTCCCCCAGACCACTGCCAGGAGTGATGCCTGAATGCAGAATCAGGAGTTACTCCTGAGTATCAGCAGGCACGTCCCCTGCCCCCCCTCCCAAAGAAAGAACCAGGCACATGCTTCACATGAAGGAACCCTCAGCACTGGATGGTCCTCTGAGCACCGTCAGGTGTGGCCCCCAAACCCAAAATAGTTAAATTTTCCCATTTATTGTCGTGGGCATCTCGTGGGCCAAGAGCGTGTTGACACAAGTTGACTCGCTTGGACGGCTGCTCTCTGGCAAGGCACCTTTTCCCCTCCGAGGTACCATGACAGGTGCAGGAGGTGCCCGCCGTCTGCAGGGGCCCTGCCTCCAAACCCATGGAGCTCTTTTTGTTTTGGGGCCACACCTGGCGGTGCTCCAGGCTTACTCCTGACTCAGCGCTCGGGCATCACTCCTAGCATGGCTCACGGACCATATGGGGTGCCAGGGCCGGAACCCAGGTCGGCTGCGTGTAGGCACGTGCCCTACCCGCTGTGTCATACTTCTCCGGGTCCTGAACTCTGCTGGGCGTGTGCGGATGCCTAGTTTCCGGAACCAGCCAAACCCTAGCCCTCGACCCATCCCTGCAAAGGGAAATCTGGGAAGAGACCAACTCTAGATGGACAGCTCAGGGAAGCGCACGGAGGGGAAGATTTCACCAACCCCGCAGAACGCCCTGGGTCCTGGAGTCTGGGGAGGGCTGGTGAAAGAGCCCCCACCTGGCAGACATGAGGCTGTGAGGGTGACGCCCCCGTGGCACTAATGTGCTGGCTCTGGTGCCCCACAAAATGCACAGACCCCCACCACCCCCGTGCCCGAAGCAAGACAGGAAGTCAGGGCGGGGCCGGGTGTGTTTCAGAGCAAATAGCTCAGCGGGGGTGCTTGATGTCGGGGTGCTGGCAGGAGCTTCGATGCCCAGAGGCACCGGTGCCCCCAATGTGGTCGGCCCTGCTCACACCCAGGTACCCACCTGTCCAGTCGCAGTTGGCACACGATGCCCAGGATGTCCACCTCGCCGCGGGCCTGAAGTTGCTGGCAGCCGATTCTGGTGGCGATGAAACAGCCGGTCCGACCGATCCCTGCGCTGGGGAAGCCGGGAGGGAGGCGGGGTCATGCGGGAGAGTGGGAGTCAGGGGGCCAGGTGACTAGGGAACACGGGCCCTGGAGGAGCAGGTCATGGGCCTGGGATGTGGGGCCCCCGAGGTCACGTGGGTGGATGACAGGGGGGCCTGGGGAGCAGGGCCCGGGGACAGGCCGGGCGCTCCAAGGTCCGCAGTGGGACTCAGGGTGAGGGCTCAGGGCTGCAGGAAGGCAGCGGTGTCTCTGTGACGTGCAGCTGATACTGGGGCCCCCTACTGCCCCCAGGCACCCCCAGAACCATGGCTATGCTAGGCATCCGCTAGCAGACGCTCCCCTCTACACAGCACCCCGCCTCTCCCTCCTGGCGCCCTCCCTCTCCTCTGCTCTGACTCCCAGGGCACCCTGCCCATGCCCGGGTGCCTTCCCTCCTGCTTTCCTGGTCTTGTCCTGTCCCTCGCGTCACTTCAGGGTCACCCTGTAGCCAAAGTATCCTTTAAACATTGGGCCTTCCAGACTCACCTCCCTCTGCCCGCGCCCTAACTCCCGCCCCCCCCCCCCCCAGCTCCTGTCCATCTTTAGCTCCCTCCCTATCCTGTCCCCGGGCATTTGCACAGGCTGCCCCGTCCACAGTGCTCCCCTCTCCCTTGCTCTCACTCCTTGACAGGCTCCAGCTAAGATAGCTTGTCTGCTTCTCGGGCTGGGGAGGTTGAGTCCAACCCCACAGTGCTCAGGGGCTCTTCCTGGCTTCGTGCTCAGGTGTGTCTCCTGGTGGTGCTCACGGCACCTGGTGCCCTGCAGCCGCCCGCCCACACAGCGATGCTTTTGCTCCTGGACACCCTTGCTGTTGCCACCCTGAGCGGGGCTTAGCTGTGGGCTGGGCTGCCTCATCCACCTGCCTCTGGGCCAGAGGCTGAAGTCACACTGTCCCCTTCAGTGCTCACGCACGCACGCCTGACCTGGTGGGCGGGCAGCAAATGTTTGCTGAAAGACTGCATGAGATTTCTGGCAGCGGGGCCAGCTGGCATCTCCCGCCTCCCCCTGCCCGCCATGTTCAGGACTGGGCCGGGGATATGGGGAGAAGCCCAGGGCTCCTGTGAAGGTGGTAGCTGCGCATGCACCCTCCCTGCTCATCCCCTTCCCGGGGGCGGCTGCATGGGGGCCCCGTACCTGCAGTGGACCACGATGGGCCCCGGGGGACCAGCCGTCCCCGCGCCCTCCTCCACTTCCGCCACCAGGCGCAGCAGGGGCCCCGCCGACTCTGGGGTCTGGTGGTCGGGCCAGGCAGAGAAGAGCACATGCTTCACAGGCCGGACCTCCTCCTGGTACTGGGATGAGGACAGGCCTGAGCACTGGAGCGGGGGGAGGGGAGCCCCAGACCCCGGCTGTCCTGGTCCTCAGGTGCCCACTGACCACCTCTGAGCATGTGACTTGGCGCCATCCCCGGAACCTCCTTTCCTTTTTTTTTTCCGGTCTTTGGGTCACACCCGGCAGTGCTCAGAGCTCACTCCTGGCTCTGCACTCGGGGGTCACGCCTGTCAGGGCTTGGGGGGGCCATCGGGGATTCTGGGGATAGAACCCAGGTTGGTCGGACTCTTGCAGCAAGTGCCCCGACTGCTGTGCTCTCTCCCTGGCCCCTTTATCTCCTTTTCTTCGACTAGAATGTGGGGATTGATGAGCCGGGAGGGGGTCAAAGGGGTGACATCCGCTTGGCAAGCAGGAGCCCCAGGTTCGATCCCTGACAGCCCTCAGCCTCCTGAGCACAACTGGGAGTGGCCCCGAGTTCTGAGCTGGCTGCCACCCCCGAGTACGACCAGTGTGGTCCTATAAAATAAGAAGGGGGCAGAGGGGCCATTGGTGGGAGTCCTCACCCAGGGACGGTGAAGGAGGCGTTGAGAGACCCCAGGGCGCCCGCCTCTGCCCCCCTATGTGGGCACTGAGAGGGCCACGGGGGAGGGGAGTGAGTGGAGGGCTCTGTTGGTTTCACAGGATTCCCAGAAGCGCTGTGTGAGGTGGGAGACCGTGTCTGATTATCAGGATCTGAATCGTGGGGATGGCGGCAGGAATGCCCCCACCGGAAAATGACGGACCTGCTCAGAAGTGCCACGAGGGACCCCACTGTCCCCAGGGGTCACCATCCAGATTCTTCGGTTCGGAATTCCTCCCCAGGACCAAGCCCATGGGTCCCTGGGATGGAAGGGAAAAGAGCCCAGCTGTGCCAGGCTCTTTGGGTAAGTTGGGAAGGATGAGGACGGGGTCAAGGGGTCCCCAAAGCTGCTGGGGGGAGCAATGGGGCGGTGAGAAGCAGGACAGCGGAAGCACTGCTGACCCCTCTCCCTAGCAGCATCTCCTAGGAGGAGACCAGAGGGATGTACCTCTCCCCAGGTGCTGCCTTACTGGGCTGAGTGATCCCTGGCATGTGCTCAGCATGGCCAGAGGTCTGTATGTAGTGGCCAAGGGTGTCCGGAGCACCTGACTCTGTGTCAAAGCTGTACATATTCCCCAAACATCTCAAAAGTGAAAAGGGGGACAGGAGGACTAACACAGGGGCCTAGACTGTTCGCCTGGCAAGCTTGCAAGCATGTGGTCATGAGTTCTAATCCCTGGCACCCCACATACACTGAGTGTGAATCTAGCAGCCAGCTGTCTGTGAACCTTCCCTTCCCCACCCCTCAAAGAAAAGAATTAAAAAACAAAAAAGGGGCCAGAGAGATAGTACAGGTGTTGGGCGTTTGCCTTACACACAGTCAACCTGGGTTCAATCCCCAGCATCCCATCTGGTCCCCCAAGTGCACCAGGATAATTCCCGAGTGCAGAGTCAGGAATAACTCCTGAGCATCATCAGCTGTGGTCCCAAAGCAGAAACAAAACACATTTAGAAGGAAAAGAAAAGGCTATCATGATATCAGGAAAGAAAGCAACAAATAGGATGGGAGGGGGGCTGGAGTGGTTGTACAGCAAGTGGGGCACTTGCCTTGGACATGGCTGACTTGGGTTGGACCCCCAGCACCTCATACGGTCTCTGGGTCTCTGAGCACCACCAGGAGTGAGCCCTGAGCACAGAGCCAGGAGGAACCCCAGAGCACAGCCCAGTGTGACCGAAAAAGAAAAGGAAAAAAGGAAAAAATGAATGTAGGAGAGAGAGAGAGGAGGGAGGGAGGGAAGGAAGGAAAGAGGGAGGGAGGGAAGGAAGGAGGGAGGGAGGGAAGGGGAAGGGAGGTAAAGAGAAAGCGGGCACAGTGGCATCTTGTGGGCTTGCTTCCCCGATGCCGGGACTGTGAGCTGGTAGAGAATCACTTTGAGCAGCGGGTACCTGCATGGCGAGCTGCCGCACCGTGTACTCGGGGTGCTCCTTCACTGCCCGACTGCTGATGCGGAAGGGCCCATACGATGCCTCCTCCTCTGTGGGCCAGTAGTGGACACATTTCTAGAAGGGAGGAGCTGGGAGTCAGGGGACGCCTATCGGCTGGAGCTGCGCTCAGGGCCACAGGATGAGCAGGACCGCTCCCCATGGCCCACCCCGAGGGTCAGAGCCTGGGGTCTGGACCTGCACTGAGGAGCTCCCTGTTCCCAGGCGGTGGGCCGCCCTCAGGGGGCAGAGCTTGGGAGCTGCTGGGAATGATGCAGGCTGGTTGGGCTTCCAAGAGCCTGTGATGTGCCGTGTATGTGTGTGTGTGTGTGTGTGTGTGTGTGTGTGTGTGAATGTGTGTGTGAATGTGTGAGTGTGTGTGTGAGTGTGTGAGTGTGTGTGTGTGAATGTGTGTGTGAGTGGTGAGTGTGTGTGTGAATGTGTGAGTGTGTGTGTGAGTGTGTGTGTGAATGTGTGAGTGTGTGTGTGTGAATGTGTGAGTGTGTGTGTGAGTGTGTGAGTGTGTGTGTGCATGTATGAATGTGTGTGAGTGTGTGTGTGAATGTGTGAGTGTGTGTGTGAGTGTGTGTGAATGTGTGTGTGAGTGTGTGTGTGAATGTGTGAGTGTGTGTGTGAGTGTGTGTGAATGTGTGTGTGAGTATGTGTGTGTGTTGGGCTGTGGGCCTGTCTGGGCACCGGGGCTCGGGGTCTGCGTCCTACCTCCTTCCCCTCGCGGAGCTGGGTGAGCATGACGATGAGCGACACTCCTTCCTGCCACACCATCTCCCAGAAGTCCGACACGGTGTTGGGCATGGGGCCCTGCGTGGCGATGTAGACCTTCTCCTGCCCGTCATAGCCCTGGGGAAATGGGCGTGAAGAGGTGGAGGAGAGCCGAGGCTGGGGAAGCCCAGTCTCCGCAACTGCGAAGAGAGGGTCGAGGCAGGAAGCCTGAACAACCTCCCCACCCCATGCACACGCATACACGCACCCAAGCACACATGCATGCATCCATGCAGAAACACACGCACCCACCCACACACGCACATACACCCACACCCACACCCATGCACAAACGGACCCTCGTGCACCCCCCCCCCACATGAACCCATGCACACGTTCAGGCACACATATGCACCCATGCACATACAAACGCACAGACACACATGCAAACATGCACACACATCCACCCATGCACACACACATGCACATACAAACGTACACACGCACCCCTACACGCACCCCCACCTGCATACACACATGTACCCATGCACACACACATGCATGCATGTACCACACATATATGCACATACATGCATGCAAACACACATACATGCACATGATGGCCACACATGCATATGCACACACATATGCACATGCACACACTCGTGGACACAGTACACACTCGTCAGCTACATGTGCACACACAGACAGGTGCCAGCCACATGGGGGGCACCTAAAGTGAGAGACACCTGAATTCAAATTACCGCCCTGCTGAGCCCCCACTGTTCCCGCCTCCTCCAACTTCAGGTTCCTCGTCTGCAGACGGGGCACACAAGTTTCTCCCCTCTCCCACCACTTTCTAGCTGCACAAACTAAGAAAACTCCCATATTTGCTGAAGGAACGTCTTTCACAGATCACGCTGACGTGCTTAGTCTCGGGGTCAGCACACATTTTTTTTTTTCTCTTTTGGTCACACCCAGCAATGCTCAGGGATTACTCCTGGCTCTGCACTCAGGAATTACTCCTGGCGGTTCTTGGAGGACCATATGGGATGCCGGGGATTGAACCCTGGCTGGCTGCATGCAAGGCAAACACCCTACCCGCTGTAATATTGCTCCGGCCCCAGCACACTCTTTCTAATCGTTCCCTCTCTGGACTCTCAGCCTCCTGCTCCTTCAGGCAATGATGCTGAAATCCAAACTCCTAGTCATGTTCTACCCACTCTGAGCCACTAGAGGGCGCTGCACCCACATGTATTGAAGGAGAAGTGGGGCTCTGGGGTGCAGATACACTGCTTCCCCTGCCTATAGCTGGATGATAAACATCTCCACAGAGGAGGGGCTGCTTGGGGCTGGGGGTGGGGAGACAGAGGGAGAAAGACAGGGAGAGAGAGAGGGAGAGAGAAAGAGAGAGGGAGGGAGAGAGAGGAAGAGAGAGACAGAGAGGGAGAGAGAGAGAGGAAGAGAGAAAGGGAGAGAGAAACGGAGGGAGAGAGTGGGGGTCTGGATGGCACCCCAGAAGTAGGGACTGGGCTTGGCCATGCCGATGTCCTGCCCATCCCGAGACTGGTGGTGAGCCAGCAGGCTGGGTGGAGGAGACTCAGGGTCCGTTTTTTTCATTTGCCTGTTCTAGGTGCCCGGCTGCAAACCCAGGGCTTCGTACGGTGGAACACCGCTGAGACGGGAAACCCAGGCTCCGGGCACCCGGAGCACTCACTCGGATGTAGTTCGCGTTGATGTAGTCTCCGTCTTCTTGGCTCTGTGCCCGGCCAAGGCAGACACGGCTCTGAGGATCTAGGAAGTAGAAATCTGCTGAGGTCAGAGGTCAAAGGTGAGCGAGCACTTAGTACCAACCACAGCAGGGCCAGAATGAAAAGTGAACTCAGCTTACCCCAGGACCACGGGCCTGGCCCCTGGCCCCAGACCCACTGGCTTAAACATCTCTTGTAACTGGGCTGGAGGGGATGGCTCAGGGTCTGGGGGACATGCTTTGTGTCTGGGAACCTTGGCAGCACACCACGTGGCACTGGGATCAACCCAGGCCTGGCACGGGAGGGGTGTGTGGGGTGTGTGTTTTACCCCTGGAGTCGCACCCCTAGCCTTGAACTTATTTTCTTTTTGGGTCATACCCGGCAATGCACAGGGGTTACTCCTGGCTCTGCACTCAGGAATTACTCCTGGCGATGCTCGGGGGACCATATGGGATGCTGGGAATCGAACCCGGGTCGGCCGCGTGCAAGGCAAATGCCCTACCTGCTGTGCTATTGCTCCAGACCTTGAAATCATTTTTAAGTAGACAGTAGGGAGCCAGAGAAGGTTCCAGGGCAGCAGCACCACTGTTCCAAAGCACTCAGGAGGGAGGCCTATCAGGTACCTCTCTGTTCTGACTCTGATGGGTCAGCGCGTGGTTGGGGGCCAGACACACGAGGAAAGGAGCGCTTGTGGCAGAAGATTGCTCTGATGTGCGTCTGGGACGCTAATGAATGATCTTGCCCAATGTCATCTGCAGGGCAAGGGGCTTCGTCCCACTCTGGGTCTCTGGCCTGTCCCTCTCAGGGGGCGACTCCCTCCAATCAAATGCAAGCCAGGAGCAGGGGCTGGTTCCAGACAGAGGGTCTGGGGAGTCTCAGGCAGACGAACCCCTCCTCACTCTGGGGGCTCGGGGCAGGCCAGGAGACAGGACTGTCCACCCCCAGCCCCCTTGGTGTGCCCCGTGGTGGGGGCTACAGGGCTGCTGTGATTCTCCATTCAGACTGGGAAAGGGCCGAGAAAGACTCCCGGGTGGGGGCAGCCCTTGGCTCTTGGGCCGGCACAGGGCTGGGGCTGATGCCTGAGTCACGCCCACATGGGGAACCCCTTTCGGCTGTAGCCCCAGTTTCAGCCTGGCCCTGGGCCTGGCCTGGGCAGCTGCCTCCCAAAGCCCTGTGTCTGGGGGCCACCCCTCAGCACCCCTTCCACTGCCAGCCACGGGGGAGGAAGAAGAGGAAGAGTTGGTATGGCTAGCTGTGTGGCCTAGGGCCACTTCTCCTCGACTCAGTTTCTTTATTTGGAAAATGGGGATACTAATAACTTAGTACCAACTTCATGGGGTTCTTCGGATCGGTTGTGGGGTCAGCATACCCTGTGTGGTGTTGGGGGTGGAACCCAGACCCCCATCATGCAAAGCAAGTGCCCAGCCCTCTTAGCCTTCTTCTGGTCTTTCCTTGGGTCTATTTTTTTTTTTTTGTGAGGGGGGGGTGTATGTTCGGGCTACACCCAGAGGTGCTCAGGACTTATTCCTGGCTCTGTGCTCAAGGATCACCCCTAGTGGGCTTGAGGGACCCTCTGGGGTGCCCGGATCCAACCCTGGCAAGCCACATGCAAGGCAAGTGCCCTATCTGGCCCCTTCGTGGTTTTTATTTTTCTTTTCATATTTAGGCCACATTAGAGAGTGCTCAGGGGTTACTCCTGGCTCTTAGGAATTACTCCAGGGGGTCTTGGGGAACCACACGGGATGCCAGTGATCAAACCTGGGTCGGCCGCATGCAAGGCCAACCCTACCTGCTGTGCTCTACCCTGGCCCCTTTTGGGGTCCTTCAAAATCAAGCAAAGGCCTTGGAGCATCTGCAAAGCCTGCTGGGTTGGGCTCTCCTCCCCCTCACCAGGGCAGGAGGCTGCTCCTCCCTGCCGGGGGCGTGCATCTTACTTTGCACCCCGGGGTCCTCCCATCACCCAGAGCCCTTACTCGGCAGGATGGTCTTGTATCGGTCCTTGGAGGCGTGGCCAGGGACATCCAGGTCTTCAGCGTTGATAAAGTTCGAGGGGATCTTCTAGCAAGGGGGGATGTGGATGAGACCCCAGACCTCTTCTCAGCATCTTTTCCCCACCCGCCCACTTCTCGCTGATGGCTGGCAGCCCAGGGTGTGGGGCTGTTCCTCCCTGGGGTGCAGGGAGGAGGGGGAGGCCCGGCCCCCACAGAGCCAGGAGGGAGAGGGGCTGCGAGGGGCTCCTGAGTGCTTACCAGGAACTCTTCCTCCAGTTGCCTGGGGCTGGGCAGCTGGTGCTGCAGGGCCCAGCGGCTGAGCAGGTGCCCCGCAGTGCGCAGGAAGTGCAGGCTCACCTCCCGGGGGGTGTTCACGGAGCAGATGGGCTCCACGGCGCCCAGGGAGCGCACGTCTAGCATCAGCGCCACGTTGGAGCCCCGCCTGCAGGCAGGGAGAGGGGGACGGCCCCTCAGTGCCCCCCAGCCCCACCAAGGTGGGCCCAACCCTGCTGTGGGGGGTGTGGAGCTGCTCGACCCAAGCTGGGGTGCTGGGGCACAGTTTGTGGGCACACAGACATATGCCAATGACATGCAAATGACCCCTTTGGCTTCCTTTCCGGCCCGCGGTCCGGTCCCAGTGGCAGGGAGGTTGGTGGGCATGGAGGGCAGGCCCCGCACCCAGGACAGCGCTCACCTCTCCTGCAGCCGCACATGCTTCTTGGCCGGGGCTTTGGGGGGTGGTGGCTGGGTCATGTTTGGTGGCTGAGCTCTGGGACGGCCCCCTGGGGCCTGCACCATGCTGGGCAGGCAGGGTGCCGGGCCCAGAGGAGACTCACTGGGCCATGAGGTTCGCCTGAAAGACAAGGGCCCCCTCCACCGCTCACCCTGGCCACCCCGCTCTGTGTCCCCAGGGGGCCTTCTGGTCCCCGCAACGCGGTTATCATTCGGGGGAAGCTCAGTGGCTAGGCTGGGCTGGCCGGGCCCTGGGTGGGCTGCCACAGGCCAGGGCTGTGGCTGAAGGTCGGAGGGGAGGGGGCGGCCAGGAGGGGGACGCTGGCTGTGCTAGGTGGGGGCCAAGCGAGAGAAGGCCAGGAGAGGAAGAGAAAACAGAGGGCGTGGACAGAGAGGGCAGCGCGGGGAGCACCCACAGTCCAGCCAGCGCGGGAGAGCGCGGGGTCTCCTGCTGCACTGGTGTTGGGGACCCCCAGCACCCCTGCTCTGAGTCTGGGGCCCCGGGGGGGGGTCCCTGTCCCTGGAGCCAGCCCGGGGCGTTTCCTTCCTTCTCGGCCCATCCCCCCCAACCCCCGCCTCTGTAACTGCCACAGGAAGTGGCTTCACCAGGCGTTGAGGACCTGGCCAGGGAGGCAGCAGTGGAGGGCACGAGAGGGGCCTCAAGGTGGCGGGGAGGGGGGGTTCATGCCTTTTGGGGACAGTCCCCCCACCCGCCTCGTTCCAGGCCTGGCTTCCGAGGCCCGTGTGTCTGCAGGCGTGGGGGCGGGTGGACGGGGTCAGCGCAGAGGTGAGGGCACAGTGGGCCCGCGCAGAGGTGGCTGGTGGCCAGTGTGGCTCCCAGGGCCTCTGACCCCCAGGGGCCGTCAGCGAGGCCAGTGCCCCGCGCCCTGGGTCGGGTGGCCCCCTGACCCAGCCTGCGCCCCTGGCACGTGCCCTCCTGCCTCTGTCTCTCTGTGTTCGTGTTCCCACCAGCCTTGCCCCCGCCCCAGGGGCTGCCCTTCCCACCCCACATTCTGGTACTCACCACCGGAGCAGCTGCGCCACGGGGCTGCCTCCCAGCAGCTGTCCGTCTGTCTGTCTGTCCCTCGTCCTGTCTTTGAGGGCTAAGGAGGAGGCAGGAAGCTGCTTCCTCCCTCCGCCCCTCCTGGTTGCCTCCACCCACGCACACCCCAGCTGCAGCGGCCCTCCTGCCTCCCCCCTCTGCCACCAGGGGTCGGGGTGGCCTCCTCTACCGGCTGCTCCTCGCCTGGACCCAGCAGCAGGGGGGCGGGTGGGGGGCTGTGCCGCCCCGGCCTCTCTGCGCCCCAAGCTCCACCACCCTCTGCCTTTCTCCGGGGGTGTGGGTGCGTGTGTGAGGGGGTGTCTGGCTCCCTCCCAACTCTCCTGCCGCGGGGCCACCCCCGTGCAGTGTCCCTAAGCACCCCCGCTGCCCTTGCCCTGGGGGGGGACCCCCCTTCCTCCCCCCGGCCAGGAAGTAGGAGCACAGGCAGCTCTGTGGGGGTGCGGCCCCTCCAGTCCCCCTGACCCGCCCAGCTGCTCCCAGACTCACAGCACCACCGGCAGCCTTGGCCTCACACCAGCCGACACCCCTCTCTCCTCTGCTGTGGGGGGCCCCGGGCTCCTGGGGCCGGGGAGGGGGCTGCATGTCCAAGACCCCAGCGTGCCCCTTGGCAGGCCTCCCAACGGCCTGCAGCAGCCGTGCCGGTTCATGGCGAGAGCTTGCCACCAGCCTCCTTCCCCGCGGAACATTCTGGCACCTTCCCTCCCGGCCTCCTCTACCTCCCACTTCCCCGATTCAGCCGTCAAGAGCCGTGACAGCCCCCAAAGAAGCGACATACAATAGGTGCAGGGGTGGACCGCGGGCGGGGGCGTGGGGGGCAGGGGAGCTGCCGCCCCTGCGACCCCCTTCCCCCCCCTGGCCTGTGGCTCCCGGGACCCCGACTGGCTTCTTCTCCAGGAGAAGGGCCGCGCCCCCAGGACAGGCTGCAGACCCCTGAGAGCTCAGGTCGAGCACCCCCCTGCCCCCCAATGTTCCTGTGTTTCCACAGGGGATAGGGGAAGTCCTGGGGGAGGGTGTTGAACAGGCGGCCGAGCTGTTGATAGTGATCAAGAACAAGGAACTGCAGGTTGGAGACGCCCCTTCGTCCTTGTCCAACGGACCAGCCACGCCTGGGGTGCAGCGGGCAGAGTTTCCGGGGGGGGGACAGTTAGAGAGCAGGAGGTGGGGCCTAGGGCCCCCCACTTAGGGGGTGTGTGGGTGGATGTTGCTGTCTCCTTACTTGCAGAGACAAGGAGCGGGGCCACCAGTGCCCACCACCCCCCGCGCGTCATGTTGCGTGCAGGCCCCCAGCTCTGCTCGCTGCCGGGGCTCAGTCCCGTCCAGCCCAGAGGCCCCTGCCTGCAAGGAGCCCCTCTCCTTCCAGAGCCTTCTCCAAACGGCCCTGCAGCCAGGGTCCACCGCTGACCCTTTTGCGGCCTGTGCCCAGAGTCTGGGCGAGAGGAGAGTGGACAGCTCAGCCTGGGCTCTGCTGTGCGACGTTGGAGAGTGACCGAGAGTCTCTGAGGCCCCTTGTCCGGACCCCCGGGGGACAGTGCCTGCCTCCCTCCTCCAGAAGTTGCTGCCCAGATGTCCCCAGAGGTGTGGGCAGGGGAGTGGCCTTGGAGGGGGCCCTGTGGAGTGGCTCCACCAGCCTCCAGGACAGGGGGTTCAGGTCCCAGGTCTTACTGGGCCCCTGGGTACCCTTCCCTGGGAGCTCCTGAGATCAGGCCAGCCGCCCCCCCACCCCCGCCCAGAGACTCCTGGGGGAACTGTGGTCTTGCACATACCCTTCCCCTGCCCGGCCCCCAGCTCCTCCAGGGGAGCCCCGGATCTGGGTCCTCCCACAGCCCCCGGGTCCCGGGCCAGCCCGGGCCGGCTCTTCCGCCCCGGCGGGTCCTGGCTTGTCCCTGACCGTGTGGGGGAGACAGACACGAGCTGGCATCAGGGCGGCCGCATCCAGGAGGCAGCAGGGAGCCCCGATATAGAGGAGCTGCAGGAGCCAGGCCGAGGGGCGCTGTGAGCGTGGTGAGAGGGGTCTGGGCACTCCCAGGGCTCTAGGGCCTTGAGGAGGGCCTGGGGGAGGGAGACGCGGGTCAGGTCCTGGGGCCAGTCCGGGTGCCCAGCCCCCGCCCGACCCACTTTCCCTGACACTTTGTGGGTGTCTGTGGGTGGCAGGGACTTTCCGTACCCTGCACCCCTGGGTCTCTGAGGAGCTGGCCCGCCGAGCCCCAGGGGGTCAGAGCCAGCCTGCCTTGAGGGGGGGTGCTGGGAGGAGCCCCCCATCTGGGCCAGGGGGCTGGAATCGGGACAGAGGCGTGTCACCCTCCTCCAGGCTGCCTCTGAACCCCATCTTTCTTCCCAGGCCCTCCTGCCTCCCCCCACGCCCAAGGGCTACCCCTGCATGCCCACAGATGCCCTCAGGGGCACCCTGCAGAGAGACGTGGGCTCTGGGGAACCCTGCACCCCACGGACTGCAGCTGGGTCGGAGGGCCGGGATGGGAGGGAGGACTGGAGCTTGCTGCCTTTGGCCACCATCCCCCACCCCATGTGGGGCTGCCCAGGGCTGGCGTGGGAGGGGAGCTCCGGAAGGGAGCGGGCAGGGCAGCTGGGGGAGCTGGACCTGGAAGCCGGACGCTGACCCTGTGCCCTCGGTGGCTGGCTGGCTCTGGAGACAAGCTACAGTAGGTGGTCGGGCAGGGCTGGGGGGTCCCCGTTCTCCCGGGAGCAGGTGTGCCGCATCTGTGGGACTGCTACGGGAGTGGATGGCCCCTGTGGACGAGGCTGCTGGCCCTTCTAGGCAGGCATTGGCTGGCCGGTGCCTTCTCCTGCCTGGTCCCCTGCCAGGCTCTGTCCAGGGGTAGCGGAGTCCCTGCGGCCCATTGTGCTCAGGGAAACGGGGGGACGGGTTCCCAGTCCCCTAGCTGAGCCCACGTCCTGCTACAGCTCCTTCCCTTCAGATGGGGCACCCCGCTTCTCCCTTTGCAGCTGCTGGGGGACCCTTGAAGAGCGAGTGAGTGGGCGAGGGAGGGCCCGGAGAGGCAGGCAGGCAGAGGGAACCCCACCCTTTCCCATCAACTTTCCCTGCAGTTCGGTCCTTATTGGTCCTGGGCCCACACTGAGGGGTGCTCAGGGGCTTCTCCCAGCTCTGAAGCCCACCCATGGGTACTGGGGGACCAGGCGGTGCCAGGGATGGAACTCAGGGCTCCCGCTGGAAAGCCTGTGCCCAGGCCCTGAGCTCACTCTGCCCCCTATTTTACCTTATTTTATACTTATTTTTTTTTGTTTTGGGTTATGCTCAGGGGTTACTCCTGGCTCTGCACTTAGGAATTACTCCTGGGGGCGCTTGGGGGACCAGATGGGATGCTGGGGATCCAACTCAGTCTGGCTGCCTGCAAGGCAAACACGCTCTGCCTGTTGTGCTATATCTCTGGCCCCCAGTCCCACTATTTTAAAGAGTACTTAGTGCTTGTGTGTTCTCTCTCTCTCTCTCTCTCTCTCGCATACACACACACTCATAGACTTACACACTCGGACATACTCACAGACACACTCACACACAGGGACTTATACAACACACACAACACTTATACAGACTAACTCACATATATACTCACACAGATTCACACACACACACTCACAGACTCCCTCACACAGATTCACACAGAATCACACACAGACTCGCTCAACATTCACAGACAAGGACTTGCACACACATACTCACACAACACTCACAGGCTCACACACACTCCCAAACTCACACAGATCCACACAGACTCTCATAGAGTCTCACACAGACTCACACACATACTCACACAACGTTCACACACATTCACACCGACTAACACACACATACTCACACAACACTCACAGACTCACATACACAGAATCACACACAGAGAACTCAAACACACTCTCACAGGCTCACAGATTCACACAGACTCACACACACAGTCACACAAGACTCATACACATATCCACAGATTCACACACTGACTCAAACACACACACTCACATACACATTCAGACTCACACACTTACATACAGACTCACACCACAGACTCACACTATACTACTCACACACAGAGGCTCACACAGAGACACAGACTTCAACAGACTCACATAACACTCCCATATGGACTCACACCCACACCCACAACAGACACACACAGATTCACAGAACATTCACTCAGATTCACACAGCCTCACAGCCTTACACACATACAGATTCACACATTCACATTCACACACACACTTACATAATCACACACACAGACTCACAAGTCTGATACACTCACAAAGTGTACACACTGATACACACACTCATACACTTATACACAGACACACTCACATACTTATATACATACACACTAATATACACACTGACACCCCACCCCACCCCACAGTCACTCATACACACACTGACACACACAGACACATACTGACATATGCTGTCACTCTCACATACACACTGACACGCACAAACACCCGCACAGACATACAAACACACACACACACACACACACACCGACACCGGCAGCCCTTCCATCACGCCCAGACAGACTGCAAACACTCGCACAAGCTCCTTCAGCCCCTGGAAAATGTGATGAGTCAGCAGCACTGGTTTCCAGGCCTGCCCTGAGGTGGGCGGCCCTGAGGTTTGGGCTGCTGGTGTGGGGGAGGGGCAGCCCGGCCTCTGGTGGGGAGCCGGGGGAGACGACACGCCCCCACCCAGCGCCCTCCGGAGCCTCTGAGCTCACACTGAGGGGAGCTGTGGGCCGTGCGTCTTTTCTGGTGCCCAGAAGCTGCCCTGTGTGGGGGAGCCCCAAGTGGGAGCTTCTAGCCTTCTCCCAGGGGGCTTCAGTGAGACTCGGGCCTCCAAAGCGGGGGGGGGGGACGGGGGGCAGTGGGAGGGGCACGGCTGGGTGGCCAGCTCCCGGGGTTCCACACCGCGGGGATCCCGAGTGGGGCTGGGAGCACGTCTGGGAGCTCTGCACAGTGGAGCTGGGTCGGCTCCTGCCTCACAGACCACGGGGCTGGGTGGGCCTCTCCCCTCCCGGACGCCACTGACTTCTCCAGGCAGTGGGGCACGTGGCAGGGTGTCTCCTGCCAGGCACACAGCCTCATGGCTGGCCGTCCACCTGGCCCCCTGGCACCACATCCATGCTCAGTGGCTACCCCCCCCCCAGGAATCCACAGACACCCCCTCACCCCCGTATCAGGTGGAGGCTTCTGGGGGCACCGCCTCCCCTCCTGGCCGCTGGTCTGTGTCCTGGGGACTCGGGGCCTCCTCCCCACGGCCCCCACCACAGGACGTTCCTCCTGGACGTGGGGAGAAGGGGTAGGGAGGGGTCTGTCTGCGCCTTCCCGCCACCTCTGGGCCCCCCGCCAGTCCTGCCTCTCCCCTCCCAGGGCCCCCAGCCCGGGCGGTGGGGGTCAGGCGGGGTGGGAGGCAGCGGCTGCTCCGGCCCTCCTGCCTGCTGTGTGCTGCCAGCCAGCGGGGCAGGGGAGGGCCGTGGGGGGGGGGGTTGGTGTGCAGGCTCCTCCCCACCACCTCCCTACTTTCTGCAGACGCCAGCATGAGGCCCCCAGTGCTGATCTCCGTGCTCCTCTGGCTCCGGGGCTTCTTGGCCAAGGTACGGGGGTCCTGGGGGCAGGCAGGCAGGAGAGAGTGGGTGCCTCACTCCCAGGGCCCACCCAGCCCCTGCGCCCCCTACTCTGTGGGCCCCACAGCTGGTTCGCATTAGGCCTGAGCGGCTCACAAGGGAGGGTGGGGGGGGGGTGAACCCACCAGCAGCATTCACGCCCTGGGGTGACCAGGGGAGGCCTGGGCGGGTCTGGGGCATGTCCCTGAGCGCTGCCCCCACTGCCCCACACCAAGTCCTGCTCCCAATGGTCCCCCTTCCCCGCTGCCCTTTCCCTGCAGGAAGACAATGATGCATGTGGCTCCCTGCCCCCCGGGGACGAGCACCCAGGAGGTAGGTGTCTTTGGGGAGGGTAGGGGGTGGCAGGAGGGCATGGGGTGGGTGTGTGGAGTAGTGCCAACTTCTTTTCTTTGGAGGGAGTTTCCAAAGCCGTGCCCAGGGGGCCCTTCCTGGCGATTCTCAGCCAACTGGGATGGACGGTTGAGTGTGGGGTCCCTAGGAGGCAGTGCCTCTTGGCCCTGTGATGTTGGGGAACCCCAGGAACACCCCTGTTGGTGCTAGGACTGAATGGGGCACAAGGGTGCCTGTCCCCTAACTCCTGTGCCCCAGGGGACACGCCCTCACCCCTGGTGCCGCCTGAGCCCCGGCCCACCTTTCTTTGCTCTGTCGGGGCCGACAGTGGGGTGAGCCTCTGAGCGCGCTCCCCTTTTTTCCAGGACCACCCCTGGAAGTGAACGTCAGCAGCCAGGGGAGGCCCACGAGCCTCTTTCTGAGCTGGGCCTCACCAGAGCCAGGCGCGTCGGGACACGCGCTCCAGCTCACAGCTCTGGGCCCCCCGGGGTCCCCTGAAGGCCGGCAGATCCAGGCCCTTACCAATGCTTCCAGCTTCACCTTCTTGGACCTGGTGCCAGGAAGCCCATACCGCCTGGAGGTCACGGCCCTGCGACCGTGTGGGCAGAACGTCACCGTCACCCTCACGACCCAGACACGTAGGTGGCCCTGGGTGGGGGGAGAACGGCGGGGGTTGGGGGGCGCTGGGCTCAGCCCTGAGCTTGGGGCTCCTGTTCCCCGCGTGCAGCTCCAGCGCCCGTCCACAACCTGCAGCTCCGCCCCGCCGCCAGCCCCGCCAGCCTGGAGGCCACCTGGGACGCTGCCCCCGGCCAGCAGGACAGCCTCCAGCTCCTCCTCCAGCAGCCTGAGTCCCAGACCTGGGCACAGAATGTCACCCTGGCCCCGGGCACTCTGGCTTATACCTTTAGCGACCTCCTGCCGGGGAGCGAGTACGTGGTGGAGGTCACCACTCGGGCTGGCACTCTGAGCGCCAAGACCAGCGCCCAGCAGTGGACAGGTAAGGTGGACACTGGTGCGGCCACGGTTAGCAGCCAAGCCCGGAGAGACGGGCGCAGATCAGAGCCCCATGGCCGGGCACGGGGCTCTGGGCTCCCGCCCTGCAGAGCCGGTGCCCAGTCAGACTCCAGGCCCCTCCTTCCCGCCTGGCTTTCTCTCTCCTCCCTCTAGCCCCAGTGGTCCCCAGTGAGCTGACGATGCGTGCCCTGGGCACCACCGCCCTGCAGGCCTCTTGGAACGGGTCTGAGGGGGCTGCCTGGCTCCACCTGACGCTCAGAGATCCGGGTGGCACCAACCTCACAGTGGTGGCCAGGCGGGGGACCACCAACCACACCTTCCGGCACCTCAGCCCGGGCACCCGCTATGAGCTCACACTGAGAGCAACTGCGGGACCCTATGGAACAGGGGGCCCCAATGCCACCGAGTGGACCTGTGAGTAGTTCCAGGGAAGTGGGGGGAGCCGGCAGAGGCTGATCCCCTGGATAGCACACAAGGCGGGGTTCGCTTGGGGTTCCGGCAGGGGCGAGGCGAGGTTCTCAGGGAATTCCCCTGCCCCCAGGAAAGGGGTTACTGCTTGGGCACTTGTGTGCCGAGTCTGGGCGGGTGCTTTCTGGGCGCTGTGCTCATTGAACGCGTCAGATCATTGAGGGTGGTGGTGGGGAACTGTGGTTTGGAGAGAAAGACCCCCGAGGCCTGTGGCTCAAAGGGTGGGAAGTGGAGTGGACGTGGTCAGATGCCCTGGGCACAGGGGGATGCAGCCCCTTTGGCTCAGAGAAGCACAGTTCCTGAGTCAGTCACCTTGTCTCAAATGGAGGGTGAGGGGCCCCTGAGTTACCACGTGATGGCAGGTGAGGCAGAGCTGCAGGGCCGCGGGGCCCCTGCATGTGTGGTGGGCTCTGCACCCTGCTTCCTCCCAGGGGCAGCCCACGGAGTCGCTGGGTCCAGAGGAGAGCTCATGTGGCCAGGAAGCTGGCACAGGGAGGGTTCTCTGTGGCACTGACAGGGCTTCCTCCTTTCCTCTGCAGACCCCGTTGCCCCCCTGAACCTCAAGCTTGTGCCCCAGCCCCCAGAGCTCTGGGTGGGCTGGCAGGCAGGGCCCGGGGCCCAGGATGGGTACTTGCTGAGGCTCACGGGACAGACGCAGTGGAATGCCTCCCTGGGCCCCTCGGCCCTCAACACTACATTCCCGGGGCCCCTGACCGCTGGTCACTACACTCTGGAGCTGAGGGCTCTGGCGGGGCCCTATCACGCCAGCACCCAGGCCAGTGTGTGGCTGGATGGTGAGTTTGCGCTGATGGGCATTGGGGTGGGGTCCCACCTAGGGGTGCCGGCATAGGGAGAAAGGCAGGTCTTGTCCTCTGGGAACTGAGTCCTGTCCAGAGCCCACAGCTCAGTCTTGTAGCAAGATGGGACGGGGCCCACCTGTGTATGGGGGTGTCTGTGGGGCTGCTGCCTCACATGGAGGGAGTCTGGGCCCCTAGGCTGACATCCCAGCATCTCCCGGTACCCCAGGTCTCTCTCTCTGGGGCTGAAGTCTTGTCTCTCCATACACTTACCAGAGGCTGGAGATGAGCCTTATAGAGCAAGTGTGAGGCCCCAAGTTTGATTCTTGGGCATAGTCCAGCCCTCTGAACATTGCTGGTTTTGTTCTAGTGGTGGCAGGGAAAAGTTGGGTCCCCAACCTCTAGTCGTGGCCCCGGCAAGAAAATCCCCCCTCCCCCAAGTCTCAGGCCACACACAGTGAGGGATGGCCCCCAAGCCCCCTGCCTCCTGGCCCTGTTTCTGGGGGGGTAGGTCTGGGGAGGGGAGGGTCCACTGGGAAGAAGCAGCCCCGGGGTGGCCCCCTTAACCCATGTTCCTCTCTCAGGGCCTCTGCCCCCACAGTCCCTGGAAGTGACTGACAGGGGCAGCCCCTCGGAGCTGGCCATTGGCTGGGCCGCACCCCTGGGGGAGCTGGAAGGCTACGGCGTGGCCTGGCGTCAGGAGGATGACCAGCAGACCCAGGGCAGCCGTATCGACGTGGGTCCAGGAAACACCAGCCTGATTTTGGGGGGCCTCATGCCTGGATCCTGCTATTCCGTGTCTGTGTGGGCCTGGGCAGGGAACAGCAGCTCCAGCACCCAGAGCACCCACGCCTGCACCCGTGAGTTCTGGGGGACCCTGTGGAGCCCAGGCCCTCCCGCATGCAGTTCCATCTCCTGCCAGTGGGCAACGCCCGGCCCCTCTGCACTCTTCAGGCCTGTGAGGGGGGCTGGTTGTGGGGGTCATTTCAACTCCCTGCAAGCATTCACCACCTCCTCCCCCTGAACTGGGCGTCCTCTCTCCCACCAATGCTTAAGGACCGCCTCTTGTTTCTCATCTACGGGGCTAGGTTCTAGGTTAAAGAATAGGAAAGGTTGCTTGTCTAGAAAAGACCGCTAGGGAAACCGCGGCTTTCTGAGTAAGAGATGCCCCAGCTTGGCAGTGGTCACTGTAAGATGCTGGGAAGGTGGGGGAAACTTTTGCCTTCAGCAGGGCCTGTGCTTGAAGGGCCATCTCCTCTGGGCCAGTGTCACACAGCCCGTCAGAGTGCCTCTGTCAGGCACCCAGCTCCCGTCCCACGAGTAAGCAACTTTCCGCCCCGCACAACAGCGCCACGGGGTGTCCGGAGGGGGCAGCACTCTGTGCGGTGTGGATTTTGTGCACCAGGATTCTGCCAGCGGTCCCAGCATGTGGCAGGCGGCTGAACTAAGCAAGGCACTCGAGACGCAAGTCAGTGTCTTGAGCGCGTTATGGTGTGTGATATTTTCAACTTGAAATGGATTTATCAGAACACAGTCGTGGTATAGGTTGACGAAGATCTGTAGATTAACATAATAATGTGGGCGCCCATTAGGATATATAGGTGAACACAGTAATGTAGACACCCAATCACTCCTACGTTGGGTGTAGGAGTCCTACATGGGGTGTGGAATTTCCTTAGACATATAGTCCTTTCTCTCTTTGTCCTATTTCCTAAATAAAACTATTAACTTCTCTCTCTCTCTCTCTCTCTCTCTCTATATATATATATATATATATATATATATATATATATATATATTTCTGCATTTTATCGTGTAACAATGTAAATGACATTGATAGGAATAGGCATGATATATTTGATATGAAAATACAACCTCATTGGTTAATGACGGTGGATATTGGGGGTTTATGGGGTTCAAGATCTTAGAAGGAGTCTTCTGAGAAGGGTCCTTGGAGGAGGAATGTGAGCTGGGTAATGGTAAGGGAGGGGCCCAGAGTCCAGGGTCCTAAGGGGTCTGGGGGTTGCTGGTGGGACTGTGAAAACAGTACCCCCATCCTCAAGGGGCTGCCCCTTGGAAATGAGGTGGTGAGCAGGCCCATGACTTTCTAGAAGCTTCTCTGGAGTGGTGGAGGCCAGGTTTGTGGTGTGGGTTGGTGGCAGCAGCGCTGGAAGGTGTGGGTGTGACCTGCTTTTCCCTGTCTTGTAGTTCCTGCCCCTCCTGCCAACCTGAGCCTGGGATGGTCCTCCCAGCCCCCTGCTCTCACGGCCTCCTGGAGCGCCCCTCCGGGGGGCAGGGACGGCTTCCAGCTGCAACTGTACAGCCTGCGGCCCCTCACCCTGAATACCGAGACCAGACTCGAGGCCGGGGCTCAGAACTTCTCCTGGGCCCAGCTGCCAGCCGGCACCGAGTTCCTGGCGCAGCTGAGGAGCCTGCGGGGCCTGGACGAGAGCAGCAGCGCCAACGCCACGGGCTGGACGCGTGAGTGCCCCTCCCACCTGCCACGGGGATTCTCGGGTGGGCGTATGGCCTTCCCGTGCTGGGGGGCCCGCAGCACCAGGCAGACTCTCGAGGCTCCCCGCACAGCTGGACAGCTGCCCTCTGAGCCGCCTGGCCTGTCACTCCTTCCTGTGGGGCAGTTTGTGGCCATTCCAGCCGGCACCCCGGGTGTTCTGGTAGCCCGGGTGGTTTGCACATTCTCTTTTGTGCCCCTTGAGCCCCTGAGCTTGAGGGGGGTCTCTGTGTCCAGGCACAACAGCCTTTGTTCATTGGCACCTACCCCCTCCCCTCTGCCCCCACGTCCCACTGTGTGCTCTCTTGATATTCCCAGCAAACACAGGGGGAAACTGAGGCCCAGAGAGGGAAAATGATTTGCCTTGGCTCATCAGCCCTCAAAGGGGTCTTGGGCCTTACATCCGGTGTGACCCAGAGCCCATGAGCCCCCTCCCCAGCCAGGCAAGGCAGGGGCGTGGCCTGGATACTGTGGGCCTGGCAGGAGACCTTCCCCCTCGGACCCCAGATCCTGTGTTTCTTGCGAGCTGGCTGTTGGGGCAGAAAGAGACTTGGTGACCTCGAGTACCTTGTCCCTCATTGCAACATCCTGGTTCCATCTAAGGGCCCCTTGGGCATGGGTGTGGGAGACGGGAGACAGGGGTAGGGGTGGGAGGGGAGGTCAGAGCCGAGGCTTGACTTACGCTAGGTGCAACCATGGGTCCCCATTTGTCCCAGGACTGTCAACTTGTTGAAGGGCCGGGCTGTGTGACCCAAGGTCTTGGGGTACAGGTTAAGGGGGACACACCTGTCAGCTCTTCTGAATCCTGCACCCCAACATGGGGATGAGATGTTTGGGGGTAGGCCACACTCAGCCCTGCTCAGGGCTACTCCTGGCTCTGCACTCGGGAGTCACGCGTGGCAGGCTCGGACTTTTTGGGGAGCTGAGGATCAAACTTGGGCTGGCTGTGTGCAAGGCAGACACCCTACCAGCTGTACTTTCTTTCCTGCCCAATGACCTTTTCATTTATTAATCTTTGGGGGCCACACTCGGAGGTTCTGGGGACTATGTGGTGCCAGGGATATAACTTGGGGCTCCTGCCTGCCCACGTGCTCTCGGCCCTGGGGCTCTCCCTGGGGTGCACGACCTTTGGAAACTTTGACTTATCTCAGATACAGCCACATTCGGATCTCAGCCTGGGTGTGGGGGGACACAGTGGGCCCCTAACACCTCCTTTTTTCTTCACTTCACCCCAGTATCTTGCTCTCTCCACAGCCCCCCTTGCCCCAGCTCTGGTGAACGTGACCAGTGAAGGCCCCTCACAGCTGCGGGTCTCCTGGGCTCACAGTCCTGGGGGCCGGGAGGGCTACCAGGTGACCCTGTCCCGGGAGGGCACCCCGGTTGGCACCAGCTCTGTAGAGGCCGAGGTGGGCAGCGTGAGCTTCTCGGATCTGCTCCCTGGCACACAGTACGAGGTGGAGATCGTGTCCTGGGCTGGGCCCCTGCACCAAGCGACCAGCAGCTCTGGCTGGACCTGTGAGTGGGGGCGGGAAGGGCTGCTGGGTGCTCTCCATCACCGGCACTCCGGACTGTCTTTCCCTGCCTGGGGGCCAGTGAGTCCCGGTGTGGTCACCTGCCCACAGGTCTCCCCTGTCTGCCTTCTCTCCTCAGCCCCCATCCTGCCCAATGAATTGCTGGTGTCCATGCAGGCGGGCCAGGCCGTGATCAATCTGGCCTGGGCCGGTGGCCCCTTGGGGCAGGGCCAGTGCCATGCCCGCCTCTCTGAGGGCCAGCGCCTCTCCTGGGAGCAGCCGCTGATGTTGGGCCAGGCCCTCCTGGTCCTGAGGGACCTCACGCCTGGACGCAACCTCTCTCTGTCGGTGCAGTGCCGGGCCGGCCCGCTTGAGGCGGCCACACACCCCGTACTGCTGCCCGTCGGTAAGGTGACCCCTGTCCTGTTCTATCCCTGACCAGCTCCCCCTATAGGCCTAGTGGCATCAGTGCCCCACCCAGCCGGGGGAGACAGCACGGCAGGGCTTTGCAAGTGTGGGGGGGGGCCCGAGTTCCAACCCGGGGGCCCCATACTTCCCTAAACTCCCAGCAGTGGCAGGCAGCTCCTGGACACCCCTGGCTGTGGCTCACTCCGCCACCCCCCAGATAAGCAGATAGATAAATGCCCTTCCCTGGGTGGTTCCGAGAGCCCCCGGTCCAAATGCCATCTTTTTGGGGTGTGCTGACCCTGCCGCCCCATAATGCAAAGCTGTTGGTGCCCCCCACAGAACCCGGCCCTGTGGAGGACGTGCTGTGCCAGCCCAAGGCCACTCGCCTGGCCCTGAACTGGACCCTGCCCACGGGGGACCTGGGTGCCTGCCTGGTGGTGGTGGAGCAGCTAGAGGCAGAGGGCAGCGTGCACCCCGTCTTCCAGGCCAACGTCTCTGGGGCCACCCTGGTGCTGACCGGCCTGGTGCCAGCCACGTCCTACCGCCTCAGCCTCGCTGTGCTGGGCAGGAACGGCCTGTGGAGCCGCACGGTCACCCTGGTGTGCAGCACCGCTGCTGAGGGTGAGCACGGTGGGGGGGGGGGCACCCTGGCGGCCTCCAGTCCCTGTCCCGCAGCCTCCCCACTCCTTGCCTGCCTCATCCTTCATCTGTTCCTGCTTTGAACCCGCGGGCCCCGATTCTTCCAAGACAGTCCCTCCCTTGTTGATCCTTCAGCCCCAGGTCCGGGCAGTGCTGGGGTGGTGCTGGCTGGCCCCTCCCCGGAGACCTGATCTCCCTGCTCCATCTCCAGCCTGGCACCCCCCCGAATTAGCCGCAGCCCCCCAGCTGGAGCCCGGGATGGGGATGGGCGTGGTCATCACGCGAGGCATGTTCGGGAAGGACGACGGGCAGATCCAGTGGTACGGGATCATCGCCACCACCAACAGCTCCTGTGAGTGCTGGAGGGGAGTGGGGGGCTCACTGGGGGCACCCCAACACTGTGCCCGGCACCAGGAAAGGAGACCGAGAACACTCTGCTATTGGGTACGGGTGGGAGCAGGCTAGAGGAGGGGGCGCCCCTCAGGCCACACAGCCCACCCTGCTCCGCCCGTCTCTGTCGTTTCCCAGTGACGCGGCCCCCACCGGAAGCCGTCAACTGTACGTGGTACCACCACTACTACCAAGAACGGGACTCCTACCTGGCCATCCTGCTGCCCAACCCCTTCTACCCGGGGCCCTGGGCTGTGCCCAGGTCCTGGATGGTGCCCGTGGGTACAGAAGACTGTGGCCAAACCCGGGAGATCTGCAACGGGCCGCTCAAGCTGGGTGTCCAGTACCGGTGAGGGCTGAGACTGTCCGTGTCGTCTTTGCATGTTCTTGCTCCAGAGTCCTGCTCTGGCCCGTGTGTCCAGACTGATGAAATGATTCTGAAGGGGCTTCCCAGGGAGCACCAGCTGTTTCCACAGTTTTTTTTTTTTAGGCGGCCACACCTGGCAATGCTCAGGGGTTACTCCTGGCTCTGCACTTAGGAATTACTCCTGATGGTGCTCAGGGGTTGGAGGGGAGGGGCATATGGAATGCCAGGGATCAAACCCGGGTTGGCCTCGTGGAAGCAAATGCTCTACCCACTGTTTACCATCATTCTGGCCCCCACAGTTCTTTCTAACTAAGGAGGGGGGTGTTTGGGGGTTTCACTTGCAGTGCAGTGCCAAGGATTTTAAGGTCTCCATTTGTAAGGCTTCTTGCTCAGTTGTGAGGGGGCCCTCCATCTCATGGGTCTGGGACTCATGACTCGTTCCCTGGAATGGCTTGACCTGTCCCTCCCCAGCAGAGGGTGCCTTTTCTTATCCCCAGGTTTGGCGTTGTGGCCTTTACCAGACACCTTGCTCCTGAGACCACCATGTCCTTCTCAGCCTTCTCAGGTATGGGGTCCCAGGGCCGGGGCTCAGTGCGGGGCTGCTCCTTCAGAGGCCAGCCCCTGGACCCTAGTGGGGGCAGCTCTGTGAGATGCCTAGAGGAGCCAGCACTGGGGACAAAGGTGTCCCTGAAATGGGAGGCCAGTGAGGTGGTTCGCTGCTCCAGGAGTCCCCCCTGCCTCTTCCCGGGCTGTTGCTCTGCCATGGAGGTTCTCAAAGAACACTGGCCAATAGAAACACGGGGAGCGCCCCACGCAGAGCCAGATATATAACTTAAAATTTCCTTGGAGCTACATTAGTGAAAGGTACAAAGAAAAGGGAATTTAAGATTAGCAACATTTTATTTAAATCACGCTATCAGAAATAGCATGTCAACATGTGACCAAGATTTTAAAAATGACATCACCACTGGCATACTTGTTCTTCCCAAGACTTTGACATCCTGGCTGTATCTTAACGTGGAGTGGCTGCATTTCAAGTGCTGCGGGCTGTCCTATGGGGCATGGTTCTAGAAGGTTCAGGAAGCTGAGCTTGACCTCTCCTTTGGAGAGTCAGGCAGGGGTCTCGCTGGAGAGTCTCAGTTTTGGTTCCATTGGTTCCCCTGGAAGCTGTCTCTGGCCTGGACTTGGCGCCTGGGACTTCGGGTGAGGGCAGGGGTGAGCCTCCATTGGGTGAGGTCACTGCTAAGCGTTGCCCTTCCACTGCCCTCTCCTCTACCCCCAGAACCACGGACCAGTGTCCCATGGACAGTGCTGCCCTTCCCAGTGGTGGCGGGTATCGCAGGGGGCAGTATTCTCGTCCTCTGTGCCCTGCTGGGCCTGGTGTGCTGCTGGCGGAGGGTGAAGGGGCAGAGGTGAGTGGAGGAGGGGCCGGAGAGGGGCTGTCTCCCCCAGGAGACCCCCCACAACCTCCTCCACTTCCTTCTTTGCAGGGCAGACAAGAAGCGTTTCTCCCAGGAACTGACGGCTTACAACCTGCGGTGAGACCACCCCTCACCCCCAGTGGGGCACTGCTAGTCTCCAGGGCGGCCAGCACCCTCGTCACAGGGTCACCAGGCCCTTTCTCTAGCTCTGAGAGGGCTCTGCCCACTCAGCTTTCTCTCCCTCCTCCTCTGATTTCTCTCTTCCTTCTCCCCCTTCATCTCCTTCCTCCCCTCTCCTCTCCCCAGTTCCCTCCGGACTATCCTCCCTGCAGCCTTATCTCCCCTGACTAGCCCCTGGGGGTCCTCAGCGCAGCCCTCCTGGCCTCGCTCCCTGCAACAGGTCTGTGCTTTGCTCCCGCTTCTGGTCGTGGCTCCAGGCCCAGCGGACACTGTCCAGTACCCACCCAGCTGGGCAGCCCCACCGCCCCCCGGGGTGATCGCCGTTCCCTCTGCCTGTCCCCTCCGCCCCTCCCTCTGCCACTGGCACGCACGGGGCTCGGAATGTTGGGGCCCCTTGGCCTCAGCGGTCCCCCGCACCCCCAGCAATGCGCGGAGGGCTCCGTCCCGACGCTCAGGGCCGGGGGTCCCCTTCCTCCTCTCCCACCAGGCGGACCCATCGGCCCATCCCGCTGCACAGCTTCCGCCAGAGCGTCGAGGCCAAGAGTGCGCATGCGAACCAGGCCTTTTTCCAGGAGTTTGAGGTAGCCGAGCCCCCGCCAGCGGGCGGAGAACCCCGACGGGGAGGGGAGCAGCCCTAGCCCTGTCCCTGCCCTGGGGTGTCTGTGTGGCCTCAGCCCCCAGGCCTGCTCCCCGTCTGCACAGGAGCTGAAGGAGGTGGGCAGGGAGCAGCCCAGGTTGGAGGCCCAGCATCCTGCCAACGCCGCCAAGAACCGTTACCCGCATGTGCTGCCCTGTGAGTGCCGAGGGTGGGGCGCTAGCCTGTGAGGGGGCGGGGCGGCGCGGGGCGGGGCCGGGCCCGAGTAGGCGGGCCCTGGGTGGGCGGGCCCTGGGTGGGCGGGGCCTATGTGGGCCGGGGCGGGGCCTGCTTGAGCCTGACCCTGAATGGCGTCTTTCATCTGCAGATGACCATTCGCGGGTTAGGCTGGCCCAGCTGGAAGGGGAGCCCCACTCTGACTACATCAATGCCAATTTCATCCCGGTAAGGGCCACCATGAGCTGGGGGGGGGGGCAGGGAAGTCCACTGGAGAGTTGGTTTGCCATGCACACTGCCCCATCCTCACCAGAATCCTGCCCACCATCACCACCAGCTGTATTTCTTTAGGATGATCCAAAGCATTTCTTTTCTTTCCTTTCCCTTTCCTTTCTTGTTCCTTTTCTTTCCTTTCCCCAGTGGTGCTGGGGAATCAAACTGAGGGCCTCAGACATGCAAGGCAAGTATTGTGTGGCTGAGCTCCACCTTGGTCAGTCCTCAGTATTGAGCCTGTGCTGTGTTAAATGGGCGCAGGAGGCAGGGCTGGCCTGAGGCAGCCATAATCTGCACCCTAGAAGGGGCACATCTGCCATGCAGTGACCAGTTCTGTAATAAGGAAAGAAGGATGGTGCCCAGGACATGCTTAAGAGGAGAAATTTGGTCTACCTGAGAAATCAAGACAGTCTTCTTGGAAAAGGAGGAATTCTATGTCAGAGGATGAGAGGAGTCTTGAAAGAGAAAGAGGGGAAGGACTTTAGGCCAGTGGATGAGATGGGCTAGAAAAGGGCTGGAGTCCAGCCGATGGACTCTGTGTGGGGAGCCGGGAAATGATCTGCAGACGGGAGCAGCCTGTGTGATTTCAGGAAGGCTGACTTGAAGCTCCTGGGACCTGGGACACGTCATGTCCCTGGGATGTCCATGAGTTTGTCTTGTCCCTTCCGGGTGAGGTCTCAGAAGTACCCCCCCCCCCCCCACCACCACTGCTGGACCATGTGCCTGCACACACATGAACACATGAATATGTGCACAGGGTCTGGGAGAGCACCTGCGGGAGCCCTGGAACCTAGGTGCCGCCTGCCACCATGTGCCCTTCCCCGCCCCGCAGGGGCATGCCCACCCGCAGGAGTTCATCGCCACCCAGGGACCTCTCAAGAGGACGCTGGAGGATTTCTGGCGGCTGGTATGGGAGCAGCAAATTCACATGATCGTCATGCTGACAGTGGGCATGGAGAACGGCAGGGTGAGCTCGGCGCACCGCCCCCAGTGGCCACCAGGGGGCACCCGAGTCCCCCTCCTGGGGAGGACCAGCAGGAGGGAGGCCCGTGAGGAGGTGGGGAAGGGTCCTCAGGGCCCTCCAGTCTGGGGCTATGAACGGGAACGGGTGCTGCAGCCCCCAACTGGACTCTGCTTCCTCTGGTCTCTGCCGTTCCTCAATGTTCTTGTTCTAGAAGAAGGGGCAGAGACGGGGTGAGTATCGCCACAGGAGAGACCACGGCACCCCGCCTTCCCACAATTGCGGGTGCCTCCTCTGCGCCCTACTCCACACAGAACCCAGGGTTCAGGGAGCCCAGAGGACTGGCCGGCTGGCCTCACATGAGGGCCAGTGCTGCCCAGAGAGCTCGGGGCTGTGGGGGGCTGGGCAAGGGTGCTGCCATCTGACTGGCGGGGACTTGGGCTTCTGGAGAAGGTTCAGGACTGCAGCTGAGACAGAAAGGGGGCGGTGGGGAGGAGTCCCCCGAGGCAGCCTTTCCCTCTTGGTCCCTCTGACCTAGGTGCTGTGTGAGCATTACTGGCCTGCTGACCCCAACCCTGTCACCCACGGGCACATCACTGTCCACCTCCTGGCCGAGGAGCCCGAGGATGAGTGGACCAGGCGAGAATTCCAGCTGCAGCATGTGCGTGCCCAGGGAGGGCAGGGCTTTGGGGCAGGGTCTCTCCTGGAGTGGGTATTGGAAACCCCCAGCCCTGTCAAGAACCGGGTGGCCACGGAAGCGGACAGTTTCCCGAGGTAGAGCAAGACGAGCTGGCATCATCTCTGCTCACTCCCAGCTCCTCTCCACCTGCCTCCTTCAGTTCTGGCTCCCAGGGGGATCCTGTTCCCATCTACTCTGCCTGGGTATTCCCCAGAGGGTGCTCCCTGCAGACTGACGGGGGAGGCAGCACCTTAACTCAGAGATCTGGGGCCATCTGAAGCGCTGAGTGGGTATCCTGCGATGTGGCAGACGGGGAAGCCTCCCACCCCTCTGTGCTCCCCCTCCCATCCCCCACAGAGCACCCACCAACAAGAGCGCAGGGTGAAGCAACTGCAGTTCACCACTTGGCCTGACCACGGTGTGCCGGAAGCCCCCACGCCCCTGCTGGCTTTCACTGAGCTGGTCCGGACGCAGGCCCGAGCCTCCCAAGGCACCGGGCCCATCCTGGTGCACTGCAGGTGCGGCCCAGAGGGAGGTGGGGCGTCGGTGGGGTCCTGTCTGGGCGCCCTCCTTGCCGCCTGCCCACCCCGCCCCCGACTGTACCCACAGTGCCGGCGTGGGCCGCACAGGGACTTTCGTGGCGCTGCTGAGGTTGCTGCAGCAGCTGGAGGAGGAGCAGACGGTGGATGTGTTCAACGCCGTGTACGCTCTGCGCATGCACCGGCCCCTCATGATCCAGACCCCGGTGAGGCAGGCAGGACCCCCAGGGAGGGGTCCCTCCTGCTCCCTCCTGCCCGATCCTGCTCTGCTGGTTGGGTTAGAAAAGCTCCCCAGTGGCAGGCTGGAGCGGTTGCACAGTGGGGGAGGGCACTTGCCTTGCATGCAGCCGACCCGGGTTTGATCCCTGGCATCTCACATGGTCCACTGAGCACTGTCAGGAGTAATTGCCATGTATAGAGCCAGGAGTAAGTCCTGAGTATTGCTAGGTGGGACCCAAAAAACAAAAGAAAAGAAAAAAAGAAAAAGAACATCTGCCCAGTGCACCCCCCCACCCCCAAGCCCTGCCGCGTGCTGACTCCCTCCTATCTCCAGAGCCAGTATATCTTCCTGCACAGCTGTCTCCTGAACAAGATCCTGGAAGGGCCCCCCAACACCTCTGAGTAAGTCCCCAGGGCCCTGGCATGGTGGGGGCACAGGGTGCCTGTCACCCCCCCCCCTCGTCAGTCTCCTGAACTCTGTCCATGGCCAGAGCCGAGAAAAGGGGCAGTCAGAGTTGGGGTCCCTCTCACGGCCCCCGCTGCTGGTCCGAGCCCATCCCAGTAGCCAGCTTCGAGCAGGCCTGTGCCAAGAGGGCGGCCCACGCCAACGCAGGCTTCGTGAAGGAGTATAAGGTGGGTACCGAGTGTGTGTGTGTCGGGGGGAGGGCGGGAGGTCACTGTGAGAGGCCACTGCGGGCAAGCCTTAGGGTGCCATGTCCACCCCCAGCTCCTGCTGCAGGCCATCCAGGACCAGACTCACTGCCCCATGCCCCCTCCTGGCTACGAGCAGGACCTGGTCCCCTGTGAGTGCACGGGTGGATGGGTGGGTGAGTGGGTGGGCTGGGAGCGGACCCGGGGCCTGGTCTGGGGGTGCTGTGGTCACCCACTCTCCCGGCCCTCCCCCATTCTCCAGATGCCCATTGTCCAGGACGCTTTGTTTCGGAAGAGAGGGGGCAGCAGAAGGAGGCCCCCCCCGGAGGGTCGCCCGAGGCCTGGCTTTTCCCTGTGAGTAGACCCTCCCCATGCCCGCTCTGCCCGCTCTGCCTGCTGTGCTCCCTGCCATCGCCACCACCAGGTGCCAACTGGGCTGTGCTCTGCAGGGGGGCATTTCCGGCCATGATCACGTGGTGCTGACCGGGCCTTCCCGGCCCCAGGAGCTGTGGGAGCTGGTATGGGAGCACGGGGCCCATGTGCTGGTCTCCCTGTGCCCGCCCGACGCTGGGGACAAGGTGAGGGGCGGGTGGCAGCGGGGAGTCCCCGGGGTGTGGGGCTCGGGGGCCCCCCGGGGGTGGCAGCCTGCAGTGTGGCCATGCCCCACAGGAGTTCTGGCCAAGCGAGAGTCAGCCCGTGGTCCTCCCCAACATGGTCACCGTGCACTGGGTGACTGAGAGCAGCGCATCGGGCTGGCCCTGCACCCTCCTGCGAGTCTGTCATGTAGGTGTGGGTTGTGGGGGGGGCGGGGGGGCTTCCAGCTGCACCCCAAGCCCCATGCCTCGTCCTGCCTGCAGGGGCTGAGCGGAACGGAGAGGCAGGTCCAGTGGCTGCAGATGCCCAGCGCAGAGCCGGGCCAGGAGCTCCCCGTGCCCACCCTGCTGGCCTTCCTGACGGCCGTGGACTGCTGCTGCTCTCAGGACCAGAAGAAGCCACACACCCTACTCAGCCACTCCAGGTGCGGGCGGGGGCCAGTCGGGAGCCCAGCCCCACAGTGACCAACCTGGGCCTCAGCGCTTAGGGATAAGTTGTATTTTCTGTTTTATTTTGGGGGGGGAACACCACCGCTGTATCCTTGGGGTACCCCCAGATTGGTGCTTGGGCACTCTGAGGTGGCCGGACCAGAGCCTGGGGGCCTGGGTGTCCTTGGAGCCTCTCCCTGCCCTGGCATGAGATGACTTTCAGAGCTCGGGCCGGCTGGCACAGAGAGGCAGGGCTCCTTCCCAGCTCCCAGACTCGGGGTGGGCCGCCCCTCCCCCACAGCCCCCCAACTCTGGGTCCATTGCAGCAAGGGCACAGCACAGCTGACCACCTTCCTGGCTCTGGATCGGCTGTTGCAGCAGGCAGGGGCGGACTGCACTGTGGACGTTTTCAGCGTGGCCTTGCAGCAGTCACAGGCCTGTGGCCTCATGACCCCCACGCTGGTAAGGGGCCCCAGGGGTCCTGTTAGGGGAAGAGGTTGGGGGTTGCCTATGGGCAAGGTGCCGTGGCGGGGCGCTGTGGCCAGGCCGTGCCCCGGAGCCTGAGGTTGAGGAGAGACCCAGGCCGGCAGGGCAAGGCTCCTTCCCATGTCTGTCCCCAGGAGCAGTACATCGACCTCTACAAGTGCCTATGCAGTGCGCTGGTGGACAGGCTGGGCTAGCGGGAGCAGAAGAGGCCCGAGCCTGTCGTGGAGGGGGTGGGGGGCAGTTGGCATCCCGGGATGGTGCAGGCCCTGTGCTGTGCCAGGTGGTACCGGGGAATAAAGAACATGGGCCAGCCCGAGTCTGGTTTGTGTTCTGCGCCGGCCTTGGAGCGGGAAGGAAGTTGCCGCAGGAGCCAGAGAGATGGGGCAGCAGGGAGGGCACTCGCCTTGTCTGCCACCACCTGGGTTTGATTCCTGCACCCTGTAGGGCCCTGCCAGAAATGACCCTGAAGCACAGAGCCAGGAGTAACCCCTGGCATCATAGGTTGTGCCTCCCCAGTGCCTGCAAAGAAACCATTGTAAAGGGGAGCTGATCACAGGGGCCAGCACTCCTGCCCGACCCCCAATCCCCACGCCCCTCTGGGCCCCTTCTCCCTGTGTTCCAGTTTCTCAGTTTCCTCTTGTCATCACTCTAGTGCTGAGATGGTGCCCTGGCTGAGCAATCCCATTACTCAGGGTCTCCCCACCCCTCCTGGGACCTGCTTTTCCCTGCTTATCTCGGCCACCCTGGCCTCTGTGTACTCGCTGTACCCCCAGAAGTCATCTTCAGCCACCCTGCACCCGAGCTGGCAGGGAAGGAGTTGGAGGAGGAGCTGGCAGAGCACCTCGTTTTTCTCCTGCCCTCGCTCCTGCCTTCCCATGTAGGAAGGAGGTGGGAGAGGAAGCAGGAAGTCCAGGGCAGAGACCTGGAAAGGGGCTGCAGCAGAGGTGAGGGGTGGGGGAGCTGTCTGTCCCTGGGAGGCAAGCTGTCTCCCCCATCAGACTACAGGGCTCTGGACACAGTGTCCCAGCGGCTCACACTCATGGCCCTGAAATGACTACAGTCCCCAGAGGGAGGAGGGGTCCAGAGTGGGGGGCGGGGGAGCTTTCTGCTTCGTCTGTCTTCCCAGAATGAGGTTGGTTTCCTCTCCCCCAGGAGGATTGGGGTCACCTCCTCTTCATAATGCAGTTCTGAGTGTGGGTCCAATAGGAAAAGTGTTCATTGTCACTTACTATCAGAGAAATGCAAATTAAAATGACAGTGAGGTATCACCTCACACCAGGGAGAATGGTGGGTATCAAAGAGACGGGACAACCAGTGTTGTTGGGACGTGGGGAAAAAGGAGCCTTTATTCGCTCTGGGGGAAGTTTGTCTGGGTCAGTCCCTCTGGAAAACAACATGCAGGGTCCAGGGCCTGAGAGACCATACAGGGGTTAAGGCATTTGTTAGGTAACACTAACAGTTTGGATTACAAAGTTGCTACTTTCATCACCATACATGCAGCTGGCTCAGGGTTGATCCACAGTACTGGATAGGGTCTCCCAAGCCCCACCAGGAGTGACCCCTGAGCACAAAGCCAGGAGTGCGCCTTGACCACAGCCAGGTGTGTTCACCTCCAAATGAAGATTTCTACAAAGATTAGAATAGAGTTTCCATATGACCCATCTACTGCCTCCCACCCCCAGCACACAAACAATGCTTTAAAAAGGATATATGCACGCCTATGTCCATTGCCGCCCAAATGTCCAACAGCGGATGAATGGATCAAGAAGTGATGGTATAGGTACGGAGTGAAATACTACTCAGCTGTAAGAAAAGATGAAACCCTGCAGTTTGCGGCAGTGCGGAGGAAACTGGGAGGTGTCTTATTCGGGGAAATACATCAGAGGAAGAAGGACGGATGCGGGATGGCCCCACTCATCTATGGCACAGAAACAGTGCAAAGGAACAGGCTGTATTGACAGAGCCTAACCCTTGGTGCCGGTTGACAAACCTGACATTACCAAGCGGTGTTGGGGGACAGATAAGGATGAGGTGGAATAAAGGGGACACAGGGGCAGAGGTGGACAGTCCTGGGCAGTTTGATGGTGATGAAAGTAGCAACTTTGTAATCCAAACTGTCAGTGTTACCTAAACGGTAACTCCCCTCCTCCAGAAAAATACCCAACAACCTTAAAAAGCAAACCCAAAAACTTTCCCAAATCTTGGACCCAATAATGACCCCCCAAGTCAAGGACTCAACTTAGTGTCCCAAGGCCACCATGGGGGGCTGCTGCTGAAGTCACCTTGGGTTCAGCCCCAGCTCCTCCAAGGTCCCTCATGTGGGAGCTTTGGGAAGGGGGCGGCCGGGGTCAAAGTTATGGGGGGGTGTGAGTGAGGTGGGAAAGTGCAGCCTCCAAGGCCATTTGGGCTCTCATTTGTGGATCTTTCTAGAAATGGTAGCCAGGCTGACCTCTGCCTATGGTCGGGACATTCAGGGCTGTGGCCCCTGCTGCAGATCGGGGTCAAGATCAGGGGGTTTTCGGAGCCAGCGAGGTGCTCCTCAATCCCTGGGGATGGGTGGGTGGCCAGCAGAGGACTGGAAGAGAAGGCTGCTTCGGGGCTCTGGGATCTGGGGGTGGGCGAGAAGCAGCCTGGCTGCCTGCGGGGTCTTCAGACTCCGTGTTTTCTCTCGGATGACCCTGGGAGAGGACGAACGGAGACGCAGACCGCTGGCTCTGTGCGGGGGCTCCGCGCGGCCGACCGGGAGAGGCCAGAGAGCGCAAAGCTGCGCGCAGGCCCCAGGGCCAGCGGGCCTGGCGTGAGGGAACCCGGGCTGGACCCCAGCCGGAGCCACCTGCCGCCCGTACCGGGAGGTACCGCAGGACCGAGACCAGCTCTGACCTGCAGGTGGCGCCCGACGGCTGACTTTCAGACCGCGGGGCCAGCGGCGCAGTCCCCGGGCGCACGCAGCAGCCGCGCCAGGCCGGGGTCAGGATCAAGGTGATCCCCCACCAGCACCCCACAATCACCCCCTCCTTAGGCTGCAGCCTACGTTCTCTCGGGGGGTGGCACCCTGATACTTGGTGGCCGCGCAAGCTGGTTACTGCGAAGGCACCGCATTGCCCACCCAGCGCCCCGTGCGCGCTGCAGCAGAACTCCCGGGAAAGCCCCTCACTCCCGTCCCCCAACCCCCCCACCCCCGCCCAAGACTGGAGTGAGGAGCCCCCCACCCCGAGCTCCAGCCCTGGGCTGCCGCCATCCGCGGTGTGACCTTGATCAAGCCTATCCCGTCTCCCGTGGAAAACGTGGGAAATGGATGGGGAGGGGTCCCCGGGGGACAGGGTGCACAGAGGGTCCCCGCCCGGCCCGGGACGGTCCCCAGGGCTGAGGGTCGTCGTGAGCCCCCTAGCCCGGGCTGAGCTCTGGCTGCAAGCAAATACAGGTCCTGGGTGCCCTTGGGGTTCCTTGGCTTTCTCCTTTTTTTTTCCCCCTGGATGAAGTTCCTGCCAGCTAGGAGGCAGGAGGGAAGCCGGAGCCGCATAGAAAGTTTCCTTGACTCCTCCTCCGCGGTGTCTCCCTCCCTTGCCAAGCCCAGCCCGTGAAACCGAATCGCGGAGATCGCTCCACAATGCCTGGCCCTCGCTGACGCGCGGCCGCTCCCGCCGCCGCCGCCGCCGCCCCGCACAGCCCCGGGGCCGGTGTCCTCGGACGGCGCCCCCGCCCCGCCGCAGGTGCCCCCGCCGCGCCCGCCGCGCCCGCCGCGATGGCCCGCGCGCCCCGGCTCTGCGCGCTCTGGTTGTGCGCCACGCTCTGCGCCTCTGCCGGCGCCCCCCAGCCCGGCGCGCCGCCGCCCGCCGCCTGCCCCGGCCCCTGCCACTGCCAGCGGGACGGTCTCCTGCTGGCGGCCGACTGCTCCGAGCTCGGGCTGACCGCCGTGCCCGGCGACCTGCACCCCCTGACGGCTTACCTGTGAGTACGCGCCGCGCCAGCCGCTCGCCACCTGCCCCCCGCACGCCCCGGCTGCTGCGTAGTCGGGGAGGGCTCGTTCCCTTTCCCGGGGGACCCGCGGGAGCTGGGGAGACCAGAGGGTCTGAGAAGCGGAGGCCAGATGAGTAGCAGAGCTGTCCCCGGCCGAGTTCGGGGGCTTGTGGGCAGCGCGGGGAGCTCAGGCGGGGTCTCCGCGCCCCGCTCCTGCCTGCCTCCTGCTGCGGAGTCTGGTGAAGCCAACCGGGACTGGGCCGAAGCCAAGCGACGGGGCTAGGGGAGCGGCGGGGAGTGCGGGACTCAAGACCCGCAGCCGAGCTGCGGCTCCAGGCGGGGTGTCTTTGGTGCGTGTGTCGCTCGGACCGGGAGACGCGCCTTTCCCATTCTTGTCTCCCGGAGACGGAGCCTGCCAACACCTCCCCGAGGACCCTCTGCTCGTCCTCGTCTCCCTGAAGTCGGGTCCCCAGCAGCCCCATGGGCTACACTTATTTGTGGGTAGGTGCGTGGCTGCAAACCATGCCCCGTTCTCCGTCTGAGTTGGGGTGAGAGGAAGGGGACCCAGTGGCCTCCCCACATCCTCTCTGAACTGTGGGGCTGAGGATCTTAGACCCTCAAGAACTCTTATCCCTCAGAACCCCTGACACCCTGTCGTGTGCAAGGAAGTTGGTGGGGAGTGGGGTCATCTCCCCAGGAGGTGTCCCCCAGAAACTTTTGACATGCTTTAAGCTTTCCAGCTTAGCACCATCCTCAGTGAGAGGGAATCCACTGGTTTGTCTGGGAGAGTCCAGGCACGGAGGTGGAAGTGGGGTGAACTCAGCCCTTCCAATCTCCCCTATCCCAAAGGGGGTATCCCCTCACTTCATATTCCAGGAGGACCAGTGGGACCCTTCACAGCCCAGGGGCAAACCTGAGGGTTGGGGTGAACACTATGAACTGAGCTGTGGGGACTGCAGGGGTTCCCCAGGCTCCGGGAACCCCATCACCTGGCTGCTGCCTCAGCTCCACCCAGGACAGCTTATTTGTAGCTATTTTCTATAAAGGGATCAGGACCCTGTTTCATGTATTGTGGGGTGACTTGGCAGAGACACTTGGAAATGGTTTCTGTGGTGATTTGCTCTGGGGGAGCAGAAAATGGGGTTTCTCCTGGTTTGAGGGGCAAGAGAAGATGGAGTCTTCCAGAGATTCCTCCGGCCAAACTTCTCTGCCGGCACCTGTTTTCCTAGAGGAAGCTTCTGGAAGGACTTGGTGGAAGAGGAGAGCCATACTTGTCTATATCTTAGCTGGGGTTCCCACTGCCTGCCACCTCACCTGCAGCGGGGACACCCACCTTTGGTTTGAGGGGGTGGCATTTTCAGAGCTGGTCTTGCACACCTGGGGGGATGCGGAAAACTTGATTACCAGCACCTTTGAGAGTGGGGTGGGTCTAGTCCGGATGGGCATCCGGGTGGGAGCAGGGAGAGTCATATCCCAAAGTGGGCTCTGGCAGGGTGCCCCCCAGGTGTGTAGGAGAGGGTTGGAGGGTGGTGGTTTGGAGAGGGGCCTTTGCACTGCCCACTCAGCAGGGAAGATCCCCCTTCACTACTTTCCGGGGCTGGAAGTGCCCAGCTTGGCCCCCCACACACCCCAGCACCCACATACAGGGCTGCAGCAGTGGCAAAACCAGCTTGTCTCTAGGGGGCATCCCCAGCCATCGCTCCTTCCTCTCCCTGAACCCCTCGAAGCCTCCTTCTCTGGTGGTTGAGGGAAGAGGGAGATGCCTCCTGGGGCGGAGGGCTCTGGGAGAGGGACCAGGAGCCCGGAGTGGGTGGGTCAATGACCAGTGGGCTCTGGGATCTGCACCAGGAACCCTGGGGTTGTGTGTGGGGCACAGTGGACTCTTCAGTGAGAGGTGAAGGGAAAGACTGAGCCATCTGTGGGTGCTGCAGGCAGCAGGCAGAGCCTCTGGGAGATGAGGCGCCAGAAGCATGGGGGTGCAGAGACTTAGAGGCTGCTTGTGACCCCCTCACCCTCACAAAGAGTGGCATCCCTCGGCTGCCCAGCTCACTGGTGTCTCCAGCCCGGGGCTCCAGGTTGGACGGACAGACGCCTCCTCCCCTGCGTCTCTGTTCACATCTCCAGAGACCTGCGGGGGGCCCATGGAGCCACACTGTGATCGGGTTGCTCCCTCAAGTGACGTCTGTTCTGGGACCTGTCTGGGGAGATGGAGCCTCTGGTCCTGGACTGGGTCAGTGGGTGGGGGGGACCAGAGGCGAGGCCCCTCTCTAGCCCATCCCAGGTCCACACAGAGCAGTGCAGAGAACGCCCCAAATTTTCTCTGAGCAGGAGACTCCAGGGAGCACCTCCAAGCCCCTGGGAGTGCTGTCGGGAGCAGACGGGGCTTCAGGCTGTCACGGCAGGCTCTTATGTGGGCGCTGCTCTCTGACACCATCTCTGCCACCTGGGCTGAGGGGCCGGCCACCTCCTGGTAGGTGCCCAGTCAGAACACACACCCCACTGTCAAGCAGGAGGACCACTGCGTGTGTGAAAATGTGTGTGAATGTGAGTGAATGTGTGTATGAGCGTGTGAATGTTTATGTGTGCATGAGTGTGTTGTGTGAATGTGTGTAAACATGTGGCATGTATATGAGTGTGTGCAAATGTGTGTATAAGTATGTGGTTGTATGCATGGATATCTGAATGAGTGTGTTTGTATGTATGACTGTGTGTGAGTGTGTGTTGAGTGTGTGAATGTGACTGTGAGTGTGTTTGTATTGAGTGCTTATGTGAATGTGTGAGTTTGTGTAAGTGTGTGTATGAGTGTGTATGTGAGTGTCTGGGTATGTGAGTGTGTGTGAGGTGAGTGTTTGTGTGAGTGTATGTGTGTATGAGTGTGTGTGCACATATGAGTGTTGTGTGAGTGTTTGGGTATGTGTGTGAGGTGGGTATGTGAGTGTGTGTATGAGTGTGTGTTTGTGTGAGTATATGAATGTGTGAATGTGTGTATGAATATGTGTGTGTTTGTGTGTATATGAGTATGTGTGGGTGTATGTTTGTCTGTGTCTGTGTGTCTGTGTGTGAGTGTGTGAATGTGAGAATTTGTGTGAGTGTGTGTGCATGAGTGTGTGTCTGAGTGTTATCTGAGTGAGTGTGTGAGTGTGTGCAAGTGTGTGTTTGTGTGTGTCTGAGTGTTATCTGAGTGATTGTGTGAGTGAAGTGTGTGTTAGTGTGTGTGTTTGTGTGAATGTGTGTGAGTGTGTGTATGAGTGTGTGTTTGTGAGTGTGAGTGAGTGTGTGTGTTGGTGTGTGTGTTGGTGTGTGTGTGGGGATGGTGGTGCTGTAGAGGCTGGCCATTGGCCACAAGGGCAGGATTGACAGTGATCGACCAATAGTATGGGTCAGCTCTGTGTGATTTCAGTTCCCCTCTTGGACTTCACTAACGACTCTGAGGGCAGCTGAGCGCACTGACCGAGGCCACATTTGTAAAGGGCTTGGGGCAGTGTCTGACCCATGGGCAGCACCCAGTCTTGTGAGCTAGTGTTGTGAGTTGGGTGACCAATGCCAAGGAATATTAGTCAGGGATGTCTTCCTGGAGGAGGAAGTCCTGGAGCTCGCAGAGGGAAGAGAGGGAGAGCTCTATTCTCCGAAAAGGGTATTGCTGTGCATGTGTACACCTGCACGTGTGCGAGCAAGTGACAGCATGCATGTATACATGTGTTTGTACATGGGTACATATCTGTGCGTGTGCATGCATGTGTGCACATGTGCTTGCATATATGGGTGTGTGCATGCATGTATGTGTGTGCATGTATGGGTATGTCTGCATGTATGGGTGTGTGTGCACATACATGTGTGCCTGCATGGGTGTGTGTGCATGTATGTGTGTGTGCGTGTTTGGGTGCATGTGTGATGCACAGTGCGTGTGGGAGCGTGGGAGCAGCACTGAGGCCTGATGGGGTGAAGGCAGGTAGGGAGCCGCAGACACTCAGCCCTTGGGTGCTCCCTCGGCGGTGCTCCCCATGAGGTGGAGAAGCGCCAGCAGTGGGGGGCTCCTGGCTGCCCCCAACCTGTCTGGCCGGGCCTTGCAGAAGCGAGTGCCTTGGGGAGGATGCAACCGGGGCCCTGTGCCCCTTCTCTTTGCTCACCTCTGGTGCTCCCAGGAAACCTCCCTTTCCAGGAGGTTCTAACACGGCGCCCACCTACTGCGCTTGTGGGTGAGCCCCGATGCCCCGTCCCTCGGCTGTCGAGCTTCAGACCCCGGACTGTCTGACCCTCCACCTGCACACGTCAGTGTGAAAAGCAGGAGTGGGGGTGGCCCGGGGCAGGATCGAGGGAGCCCCGGGGGGACACCTTGGCCGTGACCGCGGCAGGGGACCCGGCAGCTGGGAGAAAGGCAGAGGGGGTGATTCTAGGAAACTGCCCGCTGCTCCTCGGTGCCAGCCTTCCTCCCGAGGGCCGCCTGCAGGGACGGGCCCATCAGAGGGCAGAGCAGGGGGGTCACCCGCGGAGGCTGAGTGTGTGGGGGAGCCAACACCCCAGTTCAAAGGAAAGGCAGGAAACAGCCTCAGGCAAGAGAAAAAGGGAACTCTGGTTCTGACAGCAGCGGGCACGGGCGCGGCCGGGTGGGGCGGCTGGCGGAGGAGAAGAAAGGCTGGCTCCGGGCACAGTTGGCCCCCTGCCCGCCCCGCCCCGGCCGCCCCCACTCCACGCTCGCAACCCTGATGGCCCCACAGCCCCTTCCGTGCTGGAGGCAGGCCCATCGGCAAAGGCAGAGGCGGAGGGGGAGCCCCGGAGGGTGCAGGGCCCCGAGACCCCCATGTCTGTTCCTCCTCCCGCCAGGCCTCTGCAGCTGCTTCCCTGGCCAGGCTTCCCCTCCTGCTGACACGTGGGGGCTCTGCAATGTCCACTCGGCCCGGGCAGTGGCCACCGCAGGGAACTACGGGGACAAAGAGGCCAAGCTCAGGGTTTGCCCTGGTGTACCTGCATGCAATGCCACCAACACTGTCCCA